CCTGTTCCATCCCGAGCAGATGATCACTGGAAAGGAGGATGCTTCCAACAACTGTATGTTTATCGTATTTTTGGAGTTTTGACTGTGGCAAATGGCTAAAACTATTATTTAGACGCCCGTGGACACTACACCATTGGAAAGGAGTTGATTGATCAGGTTTTGGACAAGATCCGCCGTGTTGCTGGTTTGTTCCATAAGTTACCGGTCTGTTCTAGAATAACGAACTGACGATTTATAAGACAACTGCTCTGGTCTCCAGGGTTTCCTCATCTTCCACTCTTTTGGTGGTGGTACCGGTTCTGGTTTCGGTGCTTTGTTGATGGAGCGTCTCTCTGTCGATTATGGCAAGAAGTGCAAGCTCGAGTTTTCGGTTTACCCTGCTCCCCAGGTGTCCACATCCGTTGTTGAGCCTTACAACTCTATCTTGACCACCCACACAACTCTTGAGCACTCTGACTGCTCGTTCATGGTTGACAACGAGGCCATCTACGATATCTGCCGTCGCAACTTGGATATTGAGAGGCCCAACACTGAGAACCTCAACAGATTGATTGCACAGGGTATATAACCCTTCAAATAACGACCTTTTTTTTGCCCGGCTAACTGTTCGATTAAATAGTCGTTTCTAGCATTACTGCTTCTCTCCGTTTCGACGGTTCCCTGAATGTCGACTTGAACGAGTTCCAGACCAACCTTGTCCCATACCCTCGTATTCATTTCCCTCTCGTCTCATACGCCCCTGTCATCTCTGCATCCAGGGCCTCGCATGAGGCCAACTCTGTCCAGGAGATCTCCAACTCCTGCTTCGAGCCCCACAACCAGATGGTTAAGTGCGATCCCCGCAACGGCAAGTACATGGCTACATGTCTCTTGTATCGTGGTGACGTTGTTCCCAAGGAGGTTCACGCCGCCGTTGCCAGCATCAAGACCAAGAGGACTATTCAGTTCGTTGATTGGTGCCCAACTGGTTTCAAGATCGGTATCTGCTACCAGCCTCCTCAGTTTGTGCCTAACGGCGATTTGGCCAAGGTTAACAGGGCTGTGTAAGTTTTTCCCAATGTGTTCTATATATGATTTTAGACTAACGTCAAAAACAGTTGCATGCTCTCCAACACCACTGCCATTGCTGAAGCATGGAGCGCTCTTAGCAACAAGTTCGATCTCATGTACAGCAAGCGCGCTTTCGTCCACTGGTACGTTGGTGAGGGTATGGAGGAAGGTGAATTCTCAGAGGCCAGAGAGGATTTGGCTGCTCTTGGTAAGTTTATATTCTCAATCTACTTTCGAATCCAAGTGCAACAAATGCTAATAACCTTTCAGAGCGCGATTACGAGGAGGTTGCCACCGATTCTCTCGGTGAAGATGCTGAGGAGGCCGAGTACTAAGCAGCAAAAACAACTATTTTCTTTTCGCTGTGGTGTGGGTAGTTAGAGGAAGTTTGCCATAAATTTGGACGCGGCATAAAATATCACGGCGAATGGGATGAACTGCATATACTGTTTTTTGTTTTTTGTCTTGAATGGAATACGAAATTGGAGATAATTTTCTTTACATGGTTCCCATTTCCGTTTTCCATTCTACATCCCCTTCGTGATTTTTGTATCGCTTACTTGATTTAACTGCTTTCTCTATTTCTTTCTTGTTCCTTTTTTAAAATAGCCTTATGCTGTACTGCGGAATATTCCGAGACAAGTAGGGGAGGTATTTAATCTCACTTTTTCAACTGATCTTTTTGTCCCGATATCTGTACTACGTGATTCATCAAACTCGGCCTCCCTCAGCATTTAACGAAAACTGAAATGCACTTCTTAACTACAAGGACGTACATACTGTCACCCATTTCCCGCACTGTAAACGCCGTAGGCAGAAAGTGCTTCATCGTTTTCATATGTTTTCCCACAGGGCCCTATGGATAGTTGTAGAGTAGCAGGAACCAGGAACCAGGTACATACATACATGTAGTAATATAGGGCTGTGTTACCAGGAAACAATAGCTTTGTCCTGGACCCGAATTAACACCCAGCCCTCACTTTGTGAACTCCCAAGTAAGGATGCGCCAATTGGGATCCCTTACTACCCCCCCTTACTAACTGCGATCCTTACTACCATTAACTGTCGGTCGAGACTTGGGATGCAATCCTATATACACCCGTAATTAGCACGTGCGCATTGTACTGTGTAGTTGGTGCCGGATTAGGAAAGGTTTGGGCCGAGTGATGGGTTGTGAGGCGGCGTGGTGTACTCCGGTTATTGTTGGTGAGGGGGTGGAGTGATTGCAGGGTGAGCAGGCCTGGGGCACGGAGGGTGTGGGGTAATTGTGGGGTGGGCAGCTGGGTGGTTCTGTATGGAGGGATTATTGTATCTAGTGGTTACTTTTGCAACAGTGAAGCTTTACGATAGAGATGGGTTTATAAGAATTAGGCGGTTTTGTATGAAATTTTTATAGTAATAGCTACGGTAAAGCCTCAGAGAGATGTGCATATTTCATTGAATACATGTAGTATATAGCAACTAGACCGGTCTACATATCAATCTTATTGAAAACCATTTGCATGTCCAAATAAAAGTCGATCTACAGTCCATCGTCGGTTGTGTAATGGCTCATCCATCTCTGTAGTTGGGTTTCAACGAATTAGCTAGATCTGGAAAGATGATATTCTCAGACGACTTACACTGTCCCATGGCCTCGAGGAATCCGCATATCTCAGATCCGTCGCCAAACGGATGATATTATCAGGGTCCTCATTGACCGTGGCCGCATGAATCATAAACGGGTTATGGAACACCACATCACCCTATATCGAATATCCCAGTTAGTAAAAAAAAAAAAACCTCGAAATCTATACAGTAAACATCTCCAAATACTCACGGCCTCATAATCCGCCACCAACCACCTCTTCCCACAAGCCCTCGCAAACCCCTTCGCCCCATCCGTCAACAACCCACTATCCATCATATTGCGATTAAACGCATACTTCCTCTCCTCCTCACTCATCCCTGCCTCATCCGCCTCCCTCTTAAACTTCTCCTCCAGCTCCTTCCCCAGCTCATGGCTGCCCTCAAGATAAATAAGTCCCCCACCCTTCACCCGTATATCCCCGATCGGCACCCACGCCGTGATTGCCGTCGGCTCCCCATGCCGCAGGAAGATCTGGTCGTAATGCACCCCGATCGCCGTCGTCCCCGGAATATTATTCCTCAGCAGCGTCCTCCGCAGCACAACCGTGTGCTCCCCCCACCCGCTCATCTCCGCCACAAACTCCCTCAACTTCGGGTGCTGGCAGAAATCGTCGGCATACCAAGGCTCGGTGTGGGCCTGTAGGGCACGCTCGACAAACTCCTTGGCGAGCGGGTTGGGGTATGTGTTCTTGACGGTTGCGGCGCCGATGCCGGGGAACATGTCGGGTGTCTTTGTGGCGTCGAAGATGCCGTCGACGGCGGGGGTGTTGGGCTTGAGGAGCCCGGTGGGAGAGAGGAAGGTGAAGTACTTTTCGCGCATGGTGAGGACGTCGGCGCGCGGGAGGAGGCCCTTGATCCAGAGGTAGCCGTCGGTAGTGAAGCGGTGGCGCATCTCGGCGGTGGGGGTGTCGAGGGGGGTGGGGCGGAGGGGAGCGAGGTCTTGGGGTTCGAGCAGGCCGTCATTGGCGAGGAGGGGGTGGACGGTGATGTCGTGGGAGAGGGTGGGGGTGGGCTCGATTCTGGAGGGCATTTTGAGAGCGTTTCGGGGGTGGCCTTTGGAGGGAATGGGAAGCTGTGGAGCGGATGGAGAGCTCAGCTGCTGAAGCTCTACTTGTATAGCTGTAGTGGAGGAAGAGTAAGAAGAAGACTCAATAGGTAAGATTAGGATGGACGGATGGTTCGATTACGAAGGAGGAGAAGAAGAAGAGAAGAGGCTGTCCTCGATCTCTACTTATACGCCCAAGATAACACGTCGAGTCAAGCCAGACTGCGGACACCGTTCCCAAGACCACCTTACAAGTAGCTAGTGGATAGCAGAAGATACAAGCAGTACTCAATTACCCACGGCTAATACTCGGACGAGCCCTCTCTGCTTCCAACAGGGATTCCTGATGTCACGAGCACATCACATCTGTACTTCAAGTGCTTGACGCCCGCAATTGTCATGCCGGACACATGGCCGAGAATAAATTGTTGTGGGGGCGGAAAGTAAAGTAAAAGTGGAGATAAATCATTTCCAGGGTCGACTCGGCAGTACTAGTAACTGTCGTTCACGGGGTATTGGCGGATACTGGCTGATGGCGGACAGGGCAAAAAAGAGACAGCCAAGCCAACTTTTACCTGCAATTCGCCAACACCCAGTATCCGCCAATACCCCGTGAACGACAGTACCGCATCCCCCGCTGATCGACAGTAGGGTCTTGGGGGCTCTCGGTAGAGTGCCACGCGGGATCCCTGCTCGGAATGCATGGTAGATACTGCTATTGTACTAATTTGAAGCTCTCTGGATAACAACCCTGTTCTGAAGGTTTACCTTCTTTTTTTTTAAAACTTTGGTCAGTGCTGTGTTAGTAGTCTATCTTCGAGGACTGTAAAGCAGGAAGAATACTTGTGCAATTGAACATTAGCACACGTCAGGTAGCCGCCAGTAATATTTTGCAATGTGCCAATAAACGTAGACGTTAGCGTACGTAGGACATATATCCACATGTATTAGTAGGCCCCTCTAGCCCCCCCCCCCCCCTTCCCAGGTTTAGCGTATCTTCTAGCAATTCGAACACGGGCTTGGCACCATGTACGGACTTTATGGCGGCGAGTGATACTCCATGATCGGCGCCCCCCCAAGTATACATAGTGTTAAGAGTCAATTTGTCACTCGTGATACTACATACATAGATATATAGCTGTTCCACGTACGAACTGTACTGTTCATTACCTACCTGCCTACCTGCCCAGCTGCCCAGAAACCTAGCTAGCTAACTAAAAGAGACTGCTAATTACAATACACGAGTTATACATATTTTCGACTAAGGAATAGTGGGCTAATCATCTACATAGTCCTCATCGCCCTCACTCACCACATCCTTCACTACAACCACTACATTCTTCGCCCTGCCCCTGCCCCTGCCCCTCCCCCTGCCCCTCCCCCTCCCTCCCCCTCTAACCGCCCTCGCGGCACCCCTCCCTCTACTCTTACCTCTGCCCCTCCCCCCCAAAATCTTCTCCACAAAGTCCTCCTCCCCCCACAACGTCTCCGCCGGTCTCGCATTATCAAACCTGACCTCGGCGCCCTCAAACACACTCTTGACCACCGCCAGCCACTTCTCTCTAAACGCCGACCTCTCCCTCCAGTCGATATCCGTGAGCATGCACCACACACTCAACGTCCTCAACCCTTGCATCTGCGGCACTGCGTGCACCACCGATTCCAGGAAGCGCTCGCACTCGCCCGATGACCAGCGCCTTAGCGACGTGGCCTGCAGCATCTGTAAGCTGTCCGGCCACACGGGGGTGCATGTCTCCGGGAGGAGCTCCGTCTCGGCTCCCTGCCCGTCGAACGTCAAGTGCAGCAGCCCCGCCGGGAGCGAGGCCGTAAAGGTGAGGGAGCAGTAATGGCACTTTTGCACAGATAGGGAGCGGAGGTTCTGGCACGCGGGAGAAGCCAGGAGGGCGCCGAGGTCGTCGCCGGTTAGGTTGATGCAGCTGGTGAATTGAAGTTCGTGGAAGCGGTTGGCGGTGGTGGTGGAAAGGAGGTTGAGGAGGCGGGTGTTGACGAGGTAGCAGTTTGTGAGGTCGAGGTCCGTGATGCGGGGCATGAGCGCGAGTATATCTGCCATGTGTTGTGCATCTTCATCGTCGTCGTCGCTGTCGCCGGCAAAGCCTTGTATCTCCAACGCACGCAGGGCTGTGAAGCAGCGAGTTGTGATGGCACGCAGGTCAGTATAGTCCAGTGATTTTGGGATGAGGCTGCGGTCCCATCGCCAAGTGTGCAGGCGGGTGGTGGAGTTGGAGGCCTCCAGCGCCGTCCATAGGGTATCTGGGTATCGCCAGCGCGTTGGATGGTCGGCGCTGTGGACGAAGCGGAGATGACGTAGGCCAGTGCAAAGGTGGAGGAAGTCGGCGAGATCCCAGGGGGTGCCGGAGAGCTTTGTGGTAAGGAGGGGCTCGACCTCGATAGACAGGGCGCGGATCTTGACGCCGAGGGAGGGGCGGGCACGGAGGGTGGCGAGGAGCTTGTGCGCGCGCGCGGGTGGGGAGGTGAGTGGTGAGGAGTAGAGAGTAGCGATGGCGGGGTCGTGAAGAGCACGGCAGAGGGTAGCGCAGGTGAGGAGGAAGGCGGGCGAGGTATTGGGAGGTAGCTGCGAGAGGATGTTGGTGAGGACGTGGTAGGGGAGGGCAGACAGGCTGTGGCGGTGAGGGTTTACGGTGGTTCTCGTGCTCGTGGTGGTGGTGGTGGTGGTGGTGGTGCTGGTGCTGGTGCTGGTGCTCGTGCTCGTGTTGGTGGTGGTGTTCTTGGAGCGCCGTTTGGGGGCAGGCTTGGGGTCGATGTCACTGACGACTCGGTCCACGTCCAGTGCTCGTTTCTTGGGCGGCATTCTGGAGATGTCTGTAGTAGCTACTGCTAACTGTGTAGGTAAATAGACAATGAAGAAGATGAGATGTCCACACAGGAAGGAGAGCAGGCTGAATAGACAGCGAAGAAGACGAGATATCTTCGCAGGAAGGAGAGCAGGCTGAATAGACAGCGAAGAAGACGAGATATCTTCACAGGAAGGAGAGCACGGCTGAATAGACAACGAAGAAGACGAGATATCTTCACAGGAAGGAGAGCAGGCTGAATAGACAGCGAAGAAGACGAGATATCTTCACAGGAAGGAGAGCACGGCTTGAAGTGGAGTGGAGCAAAACGCCCAGCACAGCACAGAGCTGACTGGTTGGTGGTGACGACGCTGCGATTGAGGATCCTCGAAGTCGGAGCAGCTAGACTCTTATCGCCAATTACTCACCCGCACCGTACAGCTCCTCCCGCTGGCCCTAACCTGCCGGTCGCGCAATACGTCACGCACAAGCACATGCCGTCCGTAGGTTTGGCCGGGAGAGCTCGTTCCAGCACCACAATCACATCAGCGCTGCGCTCGATCGCAGCAGGCACCAGATCAAGAAGAAAGAAAGAAAGAAAGCCAACACGGTGCAGCAGTGCAGTTCTGGTTTGGTGACGATATCTAGAAAAAAAGTAAGCAGTGTTGCGGGGGGGAAGGCAAACATGAGGGAGCGCTTGAGCCGGTTTCTACTGCTAGCAGGTATGTACGTACATAGTTACATAACTGACCTCATGTGATATCACTCGAAGTCCGGATCAGATATGGTGATGCAATGGAAATATGTACATGTAGGTATGTAGCTGTTAGGGTTTTGTAGATGGAGAGCGGAGAGTAACGAGGCCAATGCGGTTTGCCGATCAAACCAGGCAGCAGCAGCAGCAGCAGCAGAAGAGAAATGTCTCTCTCACTGAGGCTGTAGATTACTCGACACACCTGTACCTACATGTAAGCATCAGCCAGCACTCCTGGTCCTCAGTACCCCCCCACACCCCCCACAAGGAAGATCACTCACCCGCAATGAGTGACCTGCACACCCTCCTCCCAACCTACACACCCCCCACCCCCTCCTCTGCCGACCTCCTCACCGCCTTCTCTACCGCCCTCATCCCCACCACCGACCTCCTAACCCAAGACGCCCTCGCCCTCTCCCGCCGCCTCGGCACCACCACCCTTGCCAGCGTCCTTGACATTAAGCTCCTCACACACTCCATCACGTCCGCCCTCCACGCCGACACCACCACCACCACCACCCCCACCCCCCAATTCCTCACCACCGGCGACACCGCCCTCGACGCCCTCCTCGGCGGCGGCATCCGCACCTGCTGCATCACCGAGTTTGTCGGCGAGAGGTATGCTTCCCCCCCCCCCCCCCCTTCCTTTTTGGATTCAACGCGGCGCTGACGCGCGCCCCACAACAGCGGAGCCGGCAAGTCCCAGTTCCTCATACCCTTGCTATTGACTGCGCAGCTCCCCGTATCCCGCGGCGGCCTAGGCAGGAATGCCGTCTATATCAGCACCGAGGCCCCCCTCAGCACCCCACGGCTCTCGCAGCTACTAGCATCGGATCAATATCCAGGGGCTTCCCTCGACGGAGTATATACAATTACGTGTTGCGATCTCGAAGCGCAGGAGCACGTCCTGCGCTACCAGCTGCCTGTTCTCGTGGAGCGGCATAATGTCGGGGTTGTGATTATCGATAGTGTTGCAGCCAACTTCCGGGACGGGGAGGCGGGGGGCGCGGCAGCGAGGGCGAGGAGGGGAGGGGAGCTGGTGAGGATGGCGGAGGGGTTGAGGGGGGTGGCGGTGAGGTGTGGCGTGGCGGTGGTGGTCGCGAATCAGGTTGCGGATTGGTTTGGTGGTGGGGGAGGTAAAGGGGGGGAGCTGGGTTTGGATATGCAGGCAAGGTGGTTTAATGGCTGGGAGGAGGAGGAGGAGGGCGGCGAAGGCGGAGCGGCGAAGGTGCCGAGTCTGGGCATGGTGTGGGCGTGTTTGCTGACGGTGAGGGTCGTGGTGAAGAGGGTGGAGGTTGGGGGCTCCTGGAGGAGGAGCGTGAGGGTTGTGTTTGCGCCGTGGGTCGGCGGCGGGAGTGAGATGGGTTTCGAGGTGTGGGAGGGGGGGGTTAGGGCAGTGGTGGAGCCGGCGTCGTAGTCGTGATCTTGGTAGGTAGGTTTTAATTGCGAGTGACATTCTGTAGAATGGTTAGTATTAATATAAAAGGCCCCACTACTAGCTATCCCCCATCCACCGGGTGATACTCCATGTGATACTCTACTACAGAATAAACCGAGTGACATCGTATGATCCACTGCTCCCATAAAACCTCTACCTTCGTCTAGAGACCCTTAGACCCCTTCCCTCCAGCTGAGTATGTACCCGCTTAATACTAGCTCGCCGACGAGATACAGCATCACAAGCTTTGATAGCTAGTCCTGGACCAAGCCTCGGCCGGCTAGCAAAGATTTACTCCCGCTCAAAACAAAGCCCCGGCTTCTTAAAAAGTCTATCTGGGTAATTCTGGAGCTTCAAACATCGTGGGAAAATATTGCTGTGTGTAGTGCACCATTCAATACCAGCCATACCAAAAGATCACTCAGAACATGCCTGAGTAATAGTGACCATGGTCTGGTCTTGCGTTTTCCAGGCCACCTTTGGGGCCGATCCGGCTCCGTCCAAGATACGAGGCATCCTTTAATTTGGCTGACTGACACTGGTGAAGTACTGCAAGTCTCCGAGTAGTGATCACCTTGGCCGCTTTAAGATTGTGGATTGATCATTCCGTGTTCTTAGACGGTATCTTCCTGAGAGAAGCCGTTTCTCCGGGTGTATGGTGGTGTACCAACTATGTAAGTGATAGCTTGCAGCTTCAGTGCCAGGGAGCGGACATCGGGGCCCTAACCCTGCCCTACACGACATTTGGTTCCGCAACGTCGTGCAGTCAGTGCCTCTAGACGGGGACGAAATCGCTCCCTCACTCAGCCATGTGCCAGCTCACCACGGTGATATGATACGATTCAGCCCCACGAAGTCCTGCACCAGAGAGCCCTTGCTTCTAAGTCCTAGCCTCCGGCCAATTGGGGGTATCCGGGTTGGGACCTGTTATTATAGGACCTGGAGGGGGGCTTTAGCTTCCGGTGCGCTGGATACGCGGTATCTTCAGAGCTGGCTGTGAAATGCTCGGTTTATTGAAAAAAGGCTGTTATTGCCCTTGAGCTTATTGGACAATTGTTCCTTGGCGCCAATCATGAGACATCACTCGTATATGTGATATGAGTGAGTGATAAGAATTCAGCTGTCTCTGCGGAGAAAGGAGAATGGCTCATAGGGTTTTGCGACCAAATCATCAGGTTTGTCCCATGTAGTTAGTCAGCGGATCTAAGGACCTTTTCAGGCTCTTAGTGTTATGATTCGCCTATCGTGGATTTAGCCTTGTCCAGATCTTGCTCTTGCTCTTGTTCCGATAAAAGGATGGAACGATGATGGTGGTTCTATCGCCTGTTTGCCACAGCTTAACTTATACTGGCTCATAAAACTAATACCTATCCCTCATTGTTTACAGCCATGTAACTTCTGTAACGTGTTTTAATACCTTAACAAATTATCTGTCCCACAATATGTCGTCCCGTTCTTCCATTCTTTCTAGAGGCGGTTTGGGCTTGGCAAATGGGCCATGAGCAGCCTTTATTGTCTGGTTTACTTCGACCAATCCTACTGAATTGTAGCTGACTCAAAGGGACGAAAAAAACGGGGCGAAGATATCACATTGATTTTTATATCCAGAGTATATCTCCACGCAAAATACTAGTCGATTCATGCTACAACAGTATCAATCACCCCCGCCCGCGGGCACTCAATCCACCATGCATTGGTATGAGAAAAGATAGGAAATTAAAAGGGAAAAAAAGAATATTTCCGAATCCTCCATGCCCAATTCGCCAATAATAACTGCGGAAGAGACGTTTCGACACAACGCCAAAGAAGGTGTGAGCCTCAAAAGAAATAAAACCCAACTAGACAATGGGATTGCAATAACCACACCCGGGTATTATCACTACGCCCCCTTTTCAATCAATTTCAATGACATCAGGTCCACCCTTTCCCTTTCCTTTGCCTTTCTTGGCATTGGCGGCGGCTCTCAAGGTTTGTCCCGCACCGCTAAATAGCGTTTCCTTCCCGCTCTTTTCCTTCTCCTCGTCCTTCTTCTTGACTGGTTTGATCTCATACCCAAAGAACAACGTGCCCCGCGGTACCCTCAATGGCTGTGGTCCAGACCCCTTCCTAACGGTTCCTGTCGGTACAGTTGGAGGTGGCTTGTTTGTTGAGGTACCTGCAACAGGTGTAGAAGGCTTGTCCTTAGGCGTTGATGTTTTTGATCCCTTCAGCTTCTGTCCACCTCCAGAGAAGTATGATGATTTGGTCGCGGCAGCCTGGGTTGAGCCAGGGGCGATGGCAGCGTAGTTGAGTGATCTTGCCATACTTCCCTCCTGAACTCCCAATGGAGTGACCCTTCCTCCCCCGACTACGGAACCAGGCCTGGAGCTTCCACTGGACCGTGGCATGCGTGCGGGTTCAACATAGTCGAGTGGCGGAGCAAAATCGACTTCAAGATCTGTCTCGACACACGAAATAGCGCCCTGAGGGGTCTCGGGCTTGACTTCGAGAACGTTGATCTCGAAAACTTGTTCGTTGTAGAGGAAAGAGAACGTATCTCCCTTGGTGAGCGCCGAGAAGTTTCGCAGGGCGTTCTCAAGAACAGCCTTGGGGTCGGTGATAGACTCAAGGAAGGAGACGGATTGAGGCTGAAGTTTGATAAAAGTTCCAGAAGGGAGATCTGTCGACTTGATCTGTAGAAGATCACCAGGTTCTAAAAGTAATGTGTTCATCATCTAGTCTAACCGTTAGCCTTGTTCAAGCTCTAAGTCAAAGGGGTAGTAAAGACTCACCCAGTGCGGCAGATAGACCCGCCCCTCCTCCGCGATAAACTCCAACACACCCGCGTGAGTTCCAGTACCCTTTGCCCCATTTTTAAGCTCAAACAACATAGGATACGCAATATGCAGCCTTGTAAGTTTGTCCAACGCCGACGGCGGCAAGATGACCTTTCCACCATAGTTTACGTTCTCTCGCTCGTTCCCCGCCATCATAATTACTGGATAGCAGCGGAGGTACTCATCGTAGCGGCGGGTCGGGCGGGAGCTGCCACGTCCCCCACCATAGGAGATACCGCCATCGTCTTCTTCGTAGAAGTTACTACCGAACTGTTGGTTTCGTTACATATTAGCACAAAGAGCTCACAGGTGAGCTCCGAGGGGAGGGGCGGGAGGGTGACGTACCATGGTTTGTATAGCTGTAGAGGGTGAATATTGCGATAACCAGGAGAGGCGATACGATGATGTTGTTGAGTAAAGGTTGAATGATGATGGGTGGATATGTTGATGATGGACTGTTCTGTGGAAGGTCAAAGAACAGCTCTAGAATGAGCACAGAGAAAGAAAGTTGCCCGCGTTCCTAGCAATGTTGACGTCAGCCGCGGTCACGTGCCGTAATCCACATAAGAGGCGCTTACAATACTGTTAGCCGCCAAATCTCTCATGGTCACTCGCTCGTAAGTGTGAGATGAAAGGGCCATTCTATGCAGTAGCAGGCTACACGTACGACTATATGCTTTAGGAATTTCTTTTTAACCTTTTGCCAATGATTGTAGTTACACATGTGTGCTGTTCATGTACCAACAGTGAAAATCACCGGCACCGCTTTCCTGGTTTCGTATTCCAGAATTGTTATACCAAGAAAAGTAGAGAGAAACAGATATCAATCAGTCGTTTTATGATTCAGTAGCATAGGGGATTACTACTCTGGGGAATAATGTTGATTTTTGATCGGAGGTATGGACTTGAGAGTCCTGCCCAGCTCGCACTTTGTGGTACAAATGTGTCGTATGAAAACTGGTATCCGATATAAGCATATTTTATACGTTTCGGCTTCCAGTATTACAAGGCCTGGTAATACGACGCAGTCGGAAGCATCCAAGAAAAGTAAATAATTCGTAAATCGCATTCATGATATATAACACTATGATAAAGACAATCAAAATAGCACGCAATGAATGTAATCATAATATCATTGACCAAAGTAACCCAATCCTCTGCAGATAAGAAAACCAGTTCCCTACATGTGCTTCCATTCCATCACACGTTCCACATCTTTTTTACGGCCCTCTACATTTCCATCCATCCCCAATATACATACACACAAAATGAATAAAAAAAAAGAAAAGGTGTAAAGTGTAAAAGTGTAAAACATAGAGAAACTATTAACGAGTGTCGAGTCATTCCTCGACTAGGTGCTCTGGGGTTCTCCCATTCTTCCGGACAGAGTATCGACAATGCTTCTCAGGTCCAGCCAGAATGCCTTTCTTGGTCTTCTCGAGCTCCAGTCTGTTTCTCCCTCCTTCAGATCATGCACGGGTGTGAATACTACACTTGCGCCTCTAATACCAATAACAGCTGAAGTGCTTGCGTCTTCCAGGATCTGCTGGGAGGTTTTGCCGTGGTTTTCTTCCATGAATTGGATGCAACGGACTGCCAAACGAACAGCACGAACACGGTCCATAGGAGAAGGAGTTCCACCTTGTTGGACGTGTCCAGGAATTGCGGTGCGGGATTCGAAACGCCCGTTAGCCTCCTCACGAATCATATCGGCAATGATTTCTGTCGTGTAGGTCTTTGAGGCTTTCTCGTTCCTATTTGTGCGTCAGTATTGCTTGTTCTACATCAACTCAATGACGGGTAAACGAACCTCAAGATCAGCTTTCCAGCACGGTTCATGCCCTTGTCGTTGGCGAAGCTTTCACGTAGGTGACCAATATCATTCTGGAGCATACTGATGTTGATACCCTCTTCAGGCGTGTAAACGGCCAACGCACCGACCGAAAGACCGGCCATTGTAGCCACATATCCTGATCTTCCTCCTTGACATTCAACGCTGTGAAATATTGTCAGCTATTTCTTTTATATCTAATCAGCAGAAGACGTAAGACCTACACGAAAACCCTTCTCCTGGAAGCACTGGCACTCTGTTTAATAGCATCACAATAATCGATCAAGGCGTTCAAGCATGTGTCACTTCCAATACTGAACTCCGTCCCCGGAACGTTGTTACTGATAGTAGCTGGCAAACAGGTCATTGGGATTCTGAATGCTGGATAGCTTGTCCTCGCTTGGTGAAGCTCTGTGAGCGCGTGGTACGCCTCAAAACCACCAATAATCAACAATCCGTCAAATTTGTACTTTTGGAAGTACCAGGCAACCATTCCCATATCTTCACTTGGAAGAGAACGGTTAGTTCCGATCTCAGAACCACCACGAATAGCCCAAGCCTCAACCATGAGCCAAGTAAGCTCACGGACAGAGTCGTGACGGACAAGACCGGGGAAACCGTTATGGATGGCGAAAGGACGGTGACCGCGGGAAAGACAGTAGAGAGCCGCAGCACGGGTAGCAGCGTTCATACCACCGGCAGGGGCACCGACGTGGATAATGGCAATTTTCATGCGCTTTGAATTGTGAGATACGGGCTTTTAATTGAGAGAATGGGGTTGGGATTCTACCTTATCTTCGGGTGCCTTAACCTGGAGATCCTCCGGCTTAGTAGTGGCCATGTAGGCTCTGTGGTACTCCTCAAATTCTGCATCTCGCAGTTCCATGGCGCCTTCGAAATCCTTGTTCTTGATGCAAGCTGCTACAGATTGAGTCTATGGTACTTGATTAGCTACATAAACTGTTTCCTGATAATTCCAGAACGAGTAAACTTACCAACTTGACAGCATCCATCAGAGGCTTTCTAGTGATCTTGTTCTCATTGATCGCAATCATAGGACTTGGGGTGTCTGGTGTAGATTCCAGGACAGCCTCAACAGCCTCAACACCTTGTAGCGTCGCCAACATACGGTCATAGGCGCAAGCAGTTCCTCCGCGCTGAACGTGACCGAGTGTAGTGATACGGGTGTCGAGTCCAAGCTTATCGACAAGGATGTCCTTTACGTACGAGGCACTGACAGGATTAAGATCTCTATCGATAGCACCTTCGGCAACGATGACAATCGTCTTACGCTTTCCGAGTTTTCGGTGCTGTAGCAGTAGCTTAGCTTGTGTTCTTGAATTTTAGAAAGCTTGTCAAACTAACCTTCGCAATGATGTCACACATTTCGTTCTCCCATCCTACAACTGGTGGCTTCTCGGGCAAGAACACAAAGTCTGCTCCAGTACTGACACCGGCCATCAACGCAAGCCAACCGCAATGCCTTCCCATAACCTCAACAACGAAAGCTCTAGAATGACTGTATGCAGTTGCATCAATGAAGTCTACTGCCTGACAAATTCTAGTGAGTGAGGAGTACGCTCCAATCGTAGCATCCGTAGATGACATGTCGTTATCAATACTTCCCACCAATCCCACAATATTGAGATGTTTGAAGGGGTTGATTTGTTCCTGTGTAAGCTCTTTCTTCTTCACAAGCTCGTCCAAAAGATCCGGCCACTCGCTCCTAAAGATGTCAGCACCAGTTAAGGAGCCATCACCACCACAGATAATGAGCGCATCAATTCCGTTCAAGATCAAGTTCTTCGCACCCGCCAATCTTCCTGGGCGCTCACGGAACTCCTTGCAACGGGCAGTACCAATGAGAGTTCCACCCTCAGACAACCAACCACGGACATCTTCCCATCGCATTCTCTTGATCAAAGAACCACCCTTCACAAGACCCTCGTAGCCCTCGTAGATGGCGTATGCTTCGCAGCCCTTGGCAATGGACATTCTGACCACTGCTCTGACAGCCGCGTTCATACCTGGAGCGTCACCACCGGAGGTCATGACACCAATCCTCTTTCGCTTTCCTCCGGCGGTTGTAGGACGGGAGATATCCATCATCTGCTCTGCCTTTGTCATGTTCAGGTACCCATCGGTAGGTCTGATCCGTGTGAAGGGGTTTGCCTTCGCAGTGAATCCAACCAAAGTACCGATAGGATCATGGGTGTAAATCTCGCAGGCTTCCCGCTCACTTGGTTGGAATTGGCAAAGGATTTTCTTGCTCTTCAGCAGCTCAGCGATCTTTGGCAGGAATGCCGTGCAGAGGACAATGCTCTGAGAAGAACCCCTCCAGTCGTAAGATTCCTTGCTATTCGCCGTTCTCTCTGGCGGCTTCTGGGGGTCTTGGCGTACGATGCCGTGAGCATGGTGAACGGCGTCAGAAACGAAGCGAATCTTGAGGGAAATATCATTCGATTCATTGCTGCTTTCGCTCTGGGAGTAGAGCCATGTTTCCTTCTCTGAAGACAAACAGTGGTCTACCTCCCGCTTCGTGGTCGGGTGGGTGCGATCGTAAACAAATGTCTCTTTAAAGCCCAGGTCGGTGTAAAATTCAACAGTGCTATAGAAGAGGTCCTCAGTGGGCGCAACCAAAGAAACGAAGGAAACGCCGCTGGTTAGGGAAGAATGATAGTTAGCGGGTTGCATTCTGACTTTTTTGGGGGGTTCTTTCGAACTGGCGGAGGAGGTAGAAGATAAATTTGGGATGAGAGAGTAGGGCAGGTTTCGAATTGATCGAAAAACCGCGGAGGGGTACCTAAGTAGGGTCTTTTGTTCTGGTGCCGTCGTCATGGCTTTTTCCTCGTTACGGGTCGCGGCAGGCGAAATGTCAGAACTGCTTTGGGTTTTTAAACAAAGTTGACAATAGTAGCAGCGGGGCAACCCTCAACAACAGCGAATCAACAACTTCGAGTGAATCAGTACAAACTACAAGCAGGGTCGAATCAAAAGAATTGGGATAAAAACCAAAATGGCAGAAACTCACAAGCACGAGCAGCAGCAGCACAGAGATGGAGGGAGGACGGACAAGATAGAAACGACGAGTACCACTAAGAGGGAGAAAAAAAACTGGACCCCGAGAGAGAAAAAACGGTTTACCAGAGAATAAATCAGGACGGACCAGTAGGTAGACGCGGGATGTTTGCAGGCAGCAGGACCCCGAGACTATCTAAATGTCCCTACCCTGATATGCGGTCATCTCTCACCACCTTAAATCCTGTTACTACCGTGATAGTGGAACGATAAGAGATCGTGACCCCGCTCTTAGATAATTCCCTTTCTCAAGGAAATTATTTGTTCTCACAACCCCGCCGCTACATCTCTGGGCACGCCTCATCCCGGATCCCCTGCATCCATGCCGGTGATCGTGGGGGGGTTTGAACTTCAGACAGTTCTGCCACAAACCTGTCAACATGTGGTTGAGATAATCAACGTTTGTCACAACCTAGGTACTGTACCTACCTCAAAACTCCTTGTACGCGGAAGAAAAAAAAGAGTACTAACGCTGTAGGTACATCTATGTAGGGTTACAAGGCCCCAAGACCGGGTATGGATATTTAGAGTCCGGTACGGCTACACCTGCGTAATTTTGGCGAGCAAATCGAAGTGGTCAAGCGCAGAACGTGAATGGATCGAAGTAATTGCAAATGGAAACTCCATTCTGCGGTTTAAACACCGGATCTTCAAATCGTCCCGATGTGACAACATGAATACTCAAATTCTCACGATCAGCCCCATTGGAGATGATGTCTCGGGACTTTGACGCGATGGGCTTGGGCTTGTCTTCTCATGAGTTTGTTTTTTTTTCATTCTTTTTTTCCGGACAATCATTTACCAGATTGCCAAGAACCACCCCTGTTCTTTAAAACCCGGCTAACCGCCTCATGCATTGTTACCAGTACGATCTCGGATACGGACATAGAAATTCACTGGCTATGGTTTGTCTGGCACAAAAGAGAGCGTCTTAAACCAATCAACTAAATTGCTCCAGCCAAATAATGGATATTGAACTGTTGTCGCCAGCCCTTCAGAGAAGCTTCACTCGGGAACGTGAGACGAAGCATCCATACAAAGGCCTACGTATGCGATAATAGTATATAGGATGATCATGCTGTGCAACGCCGCGTCCAAGATCCGGGAAATCCAGCTCCCGAACCTACGGAGTATATTTCTGTGCTTGTGGAGTGATAATGACACTTTATTACTGCAACACTGCGACTCGGATAAGGGGTTTTTGGTCAGTCACCCCACTAACATGTGTCGCCGAAATCGAGTGACACAACGTGACGTGCGCGCCACACAAAGTATCTAGGTTCATAGAAAATCACTCGGATCTAGATCTCCTACTAAAACGCTCATCCCCGAAGTGGCGTCTGTTTATTTGGATGATTAGAATAACGGTACCGCGCGAGGCCGGCCAGTCGCCGTGACCACTCACTTGCCGTTTACAAATGGAGATAGTTTTTCCAAAATCAGGAGAAGTATATCCAAATTCCTCAATCCTCTTTTTGTATTAATTGCCAAGGGAAACGGTGAGTGAGTGGTCACGGCAATCGGCCGGCGTCGCGCGGTACGGGGAAGTTATAAATTTCGTATAAACTAGCCATTTCGCCACTCACCTGACTACCCTCAACTAGCTACTCATTTTTAAGGACGTTATCACGAGAATCGTGCTGTTGCCGTGGCTCCATTTAAGATTTCATTTAAACAAGAACCGTACTATTTCTGGGACTGCCATCTCAGATAAAGGAATAGCCATGAGCTAAAACTCCAGATCCGAAGGTGAAGTTTGGGTGGAAACATCAAGCTGGAGTATCGTTTAGTTTTGTAGGCAAGGCCATTCTTCACCATGTATCGCAAGATAATGGCCTCAGTGTCAAATGTTTCCCCAGACAGTCGCCTAACATGATTAAAATGGCTATTTACCTGTGTGATTCTATGTAGCACTACAATTTGATCTTCCAAACTCTTGAGGCCTCGCATTGGTCCGAGAGTGAATAACCCTAACCCTGACCAGTCCCCACAGCTATGTTCCGCCCCCCCTCCTAAGCGCAAAAAGAATATTGAAGGTAAAAGCCATTCATAAAAGAAAAGCATTCATACAACAGAGGAACAAAAAGTATCGCCAATGGATCATGGTTCGCTCACCAAAGGGACCTTCCCGCAGATCGAACCTAGACCCCGTAGTGTCCGGCCGCAACGTAGGGTGAGTAGAAGGTGTATCCCAATTGACCACTCACCCATACCTTGCAAAAACCGGGAGTGATAGTTGAGGGAGCCGACTGCTTTTTCTCCAACCACATGTGACCCGCGTAGACAAATTGAACCCGCCCATACTCGAACACAAAAGACAGTTGGCCTGGGGACTTAGTACTCGGATGCAAGCTCCCACCGGCTCCCAGATGACTCGCCACAGTTTCTCGGGTGGCCTCGCGAGTACAGAAGATACGATATCGTGCTAACAAACATTTGCACACAGCCTCTGGTATCTGACGAGCAGCTATCATGAGGAAAAAAAACAGCGTCGGCGACCAGCACATCATGCCGCACACAACAGCAGCTGTGGGCAAAGGACACAAGAAGTGCTTTAGATCTAGAATCTAACCCGCTAGATCATTTATCAGGCACAGAATCTTTGTACGTAGGGCACCAACCCCCGGTCACTACATGTACTTCTATCTAGCCTTCAATCGTTTGTATGTGCTTGAGTGATTCATCCAGACCTTAAATCGCATTCTTTGACTTCCGAATCTCAAGGACACCCCCACCACCGGGGTCTATTAGCCCTACACCCCAAACCATACTCGCGGCCAACCGGCCGCTCAAAAACCCCCTCTCCCGCCAAAATCAAACCTTCACCCAGCCCACCATACCCAGCACCTTATCTCCGCACCTAATCTGCCCCCAGAACACCCCAACCCGCCTCCAAAAAAACAAAAACTGCCCTGACCCGGATTTGAACCAGGGATCTCAGCATTTCATACAAGTGCTGCGCCTTACCAACTTGGCCACCAGGGCATGGATTTTCAATGCACTCTGGTACGTTATGGAGCAGTACTAGGACGTGTGTCGCAGGGGGCTTGTGGTGGCCGGCTCGAGTGCTGGGTGCTGCATTGGGGGGCTGCTGGATGCCTTGGTTACGTATACAGGTAAGAGGAGATTAAAGCTCGACCAAGACTGGGAGCATGCAGCCGGGCCCCGGGGGTTCGTGAATGCGGAGTGAGACGATAGAGTATGATCATGAAGCAATAGAGCAAACCATACAAGCAGCATCAACATCTTCCACTCCCCACACCTCGTGCTTTAAAGTGATATGCAAAGTTACTGGTCAATTGGTGCAGATGTCGACGGACGGCCGGACATCACCACCACTCGCCCAGACAGCTAGAAGATCTACATTCATCTTTCTGGTTATCATAAAGGGTTTTGTATAAGCTATGTAGTCTATTGCTCCCAAATTTTCTGGAATTTTATGGGTGCTGGTTGGGTTATGGTCGATCACGCGCTCTTTCATTGGTGCCGGGTGAGTTTGTGTTCTGGGGGTATGATTGGAGCGAGTGATATCCTGTGACTCATATATTTACCATATCGTCAGTCTTTAGTGCGGTGTGCCCATTAATTGGATGGGAGTCTAGGAAGATTTATATAGAAACATAATCTGATTCTGTCCCAGAAATTCAGAAACAAATAATCTCATTACGTTCAGAAACAAATTTCGCCGATTAAGTTACATGATATTTTTTGTCCATGCGCACGCGTACGTTCCCAAATAAATAAACCAACTAAATAAACGATCCCACCCAATACAAACTACAACTAAAACTAAGCCATAACATTAAAAATTTCATTTCTCCACCCCGTCTCCTCCAACCCCCCTCCTTCTCCTCCAGCCTCCACCCTTTGCCCCACAGCCTCCACCTTTCTTATCACCGACCCTGGAGGCCTCTCGCCAGGGAACAAAACCTCTCCCATACCAATATTCACCCTAAACGCCCCACTGCCACTCCTTCTTCCCCCCTCAGGCCTCGACAACACCGCCCTAATCCACGATTCCACGCTCCCTCCGCCCTGTCCCGCAATCGACGCCACCCGCATTCGCTCAACAAGCGCATGTATCTCGCGATCTGCCATCTCAAACCCTTCCCTAATCTTCTGCTCCAGCAGCCTCGACAGCAGCTGCCTTATCGCCGGGCGTATGATCGGTGCGAGCAGCGCCGCAGCCCATGTATGGTATGCGTGGTAGTTGTAGCGGAACTTGTGGATTGTAACATGGACGGAGCGCAGGTGGAAGTAGCTTTCCGTCGTTGGGGTGTCAGAATCGTAGTCGTCATCATCGAGGATTGAGTCGAGGATGAGCTCGGCGGAAGCGCCGCGGCCATCCATGAACATGTCGAAGAAACCACGGTCGGAGAAGGTTAGGCCGGTCTTTTTGCGGAGGATGAAGGAGGCGTCTTTGAAGAAGAGGTTGATATTTTCAATTTTGATGCGGGTGGTGGCGGCGTATTTGGAGGTGAAGGTGTAGTCGTTTATGAATTCTGCTCTTGTGAGGGCTTCGAAGAGCATGCGGCCGGGGACGAAGTGGTCTGTTTAAAACTATTAGCTAAATAATTTAAATATTAGTAGGAAGAGGGAGATATATACCAGACTCCAAAATGACATTTTCCAAGATCAAGTCGAAATCCCGATCCTGATACTCAATCCTCGGCATCGGGATGTATCTGATCTCGCCCACAAACCTCGGTAGCACCACATCCACCAAATCCTTCACCACCTTTCTCCTAAAGCCCTTAAACTGACCGTTCCTATCTAAGATCACCAGGTCATTAAACACCTTCTTACTCGTCTCTACGAGCCTCCTGTTCTCGCGGTCGTTGATTATGCAGTCTCGGTAGGTGCGCAGCTCCTCAAATAGCCGCTCCATGTCGGGCCGGTACTTGTCCTTCTTCTCGGCGAGGAGCTCCTGGGAGCGGTCATAGAGGCGGTGGGCTTCGGCGTCGGCGGCATCTGAGGTGATAAAGTCTTTGTCAGTCAACGCGCGCTGGATGAAGTGGGTGGCGGCGTGGTAGAAATCGGTGAGGTCAGGGTCGTTCTGGACGTCTTCCATGACTTGGTGCAGGGCATCACTGATGTCGTCGAGTGGTTTGCCATCCGCAAATACCATCAATATAGCCTACGCTAATATCAATAACCCATACTAAAACTAAGATCATGGGAGGAGTGGGGATTGATACCTTAGCCTGCATAAAGGCCCTATCAAAATGCTCATCCGTCTGCACCCCACTCTCCTTCGTTCTCTGCGCCTCCTGCGTCATCTTATCCCTTAACGTCGCTCCATATTTTCTCATGAGCCCCATCAAAAAGTCCACCGCCTCCTGATAATCCGGGTTATTCTGAATCTCCGTCAATACCCTCTTGAGCCTGTTCACCACCGCATCTCGCCGCTGCTTGGGGAATTTCTGCCGTAGGTACGACTCCATGTCGTCGCGCATATGCTGCATCTTCTGCCATGCCTGCTCGCCATATTCGCGGCCTTTTTCTTTCGCCTGCGACTTGAGTTGTGCGCTGGAGGGTGGCTGGGAGTCCTTGTCGCCGAGACCGGATTCGGCGGGTTGATCGAGGTTGGAGATCTCGGATTCGGTGGGTCGGAGTGTGTCGGCGGTGGTGGTGGCGATGGATCCTACCTGGGAGGCGGCATCGGCGAGAATTTCGCGGGCGAGGACTGGGTTGAGGTTAGATGTTAGTATTTATTAATTTTTCACAGCTGTTTTCGACTCGAGAGAGATATAACTATACCTGAAGCATCGTTCAACAAATTCCTGAATTCAGGGCTGGAATAAAGCAGGCTTGCCAGGTTCCTCAGCCTTTTGTACACTAGAAAATAATTAGTTGGTTTTTTTTTGTCTCTAGTTATGAAAGCCAATGATTATCGACACATACTTTTCTGCACCTCCGCATTCGACGGCCTCACAGCGTCGGCAGTCGCCCCGGCGCTCGTCATGGCACCCGACATACTCGGGCCCCTCATCGAGATCCGCGCGTTCGAAGTATTATAAATAAACTCCTGTATCTTATCATCCGACTATCCCCATCACCACCGTTAGCGCCTGCATCTGCATCACAACGCATCACTCGCTACCCAAAACTTACATTTTTACTCAACCCCAGCTCGACCACGGCCTCTATCCACGCCCTAACATCCCTAATAAACCCCCTTCCATGCGAACTTAGGCGGCGGTTTCGACTATCTAGCACGCCCGACGTACGAAGCGCATACCGCGCCCACTGCGCGATCTGCTCCGTCGTCGGCATATAGCCGGCGCGCAACGCGAGGATCGCTTCATATGTGCGCAACTTCTGGCGGATGCTGGTTTCTTTAGCGGCTCGGGTGGGGTCGGAGTGTTTGCTAATTAGAGATGCGTGCAGGTCGCGGTCAATGTCTTGGGAGTATTTGGCTGTCGACATGACGGGGGCGTGGTCGATATGGTGGGCGGTGGGTTTGTGGGAGGAGTCAGAGTCTGAGTCGGAAGTGTATGAGGTGGAGAGATCGAGAGGGGGCGGTGGGGGATCAGAAGTGCGGCGGGTGCGTGTTTTTGTGGTGGTTATGGGGGTTTCTTCAGCAGGGTAGTATTTGGTCGTGCGGGAGAGTGCTTGGTTGGTGGTTGTGCCAGTGGTAGCTGCAGCGGTGGGATTCTTCTTATCTCTGCCCATTTCATGTTTTCCGTGAGTGTGTGTGGCCTATCTGCGCTTTACACCATCGTGTAGATGATTATATCTAGAGTATTCCTCCCCGTCTGATACATACTGTATTATAGCAAGTATCTCTCCTCCATGACAATGAGCATTCCATGTCGTCATTGCCCACCCACTCTCACTCGCCCACTGCACCCACTGCTGAACTCCAATTGGAGCAACCCGACCCAAGCAAAAGCACCACTGACGTCGCCAACAGCCGATTACCGTGAGTGCGGAACCCAGAAACGTCAGTATTTCCTCATCACCGTCTCTCACGTGCCCTGTTGCCTAAAACGGAACCATTGGTGTATTAATTGAGACATCGTGCCAAGACACATATCGTGGCGAATATTCGTCTATCATTGTAGCCGTTGATCATGGACCGGGTTTTCTTGTGAAACCTTCCGTTCACGAGGGTTGCCGGTCGGGGGGTGTCTGGGGTGTGAGGATTATAAGTAGGATCCATGCGAGAAAAACAGGAAGCTTGATGGCTTTGGAGTAAGTGCATGTAGGGCCACTGTACCAACATGTACCTAGAGTACTGTGGATCATTGGCCTGTCTGGTTTGCGAAGCTTATTAGAGAGTTTAAGCCACCCGACTTTTTGGCAAACAAAAAAGATCGTCGGACAAAAAAGATCAGCGGTCTAGGCTCAAAAGAGCAAAACTAACGCAGGATTGGGAATCTTTTACACTGATCTTTTTTGTTCTTGCCGGAAATCTCTGGTGGCTTAAACTCTCTATTGCCGTCTTCTTATTCTTAGGAGAGCTTATCCTAGCTATGTATCTTATCCTGGCTGGTCCATGGGGTCAATGACCGGAATGCTTAAAATTGGTTTCCAGAGAGTAAACAACCTAAACCTAACAAAACCTAACAAGAAGCACCGTTGCAATTGATCAGATAGCTTGTTCGTTTGATTGATGACGGGTTAAGGTTAAGGCAGAGACTACAGTGGAGCTTCGCTATAAATAGTAAATGTCCTGGCCACCCATCCTTTATCATAGTCTATGCCACGTGCTATCATATTCCACGTAAGCCGTAGCATAGGGTAACAAGAAGTAGAGACAGGGTAGACTACAAGTATTTGTGTCCACACCGATAGAACTACATGTATGTACATGTAGCTAGAGTCAGACTCTACCGCTATACATGTAGCTATGGAATGATATTCAACCACTAGAGTACTGCCAAATAAAATACCAAATGAGTCTGGGAACGAGACAAGTATCGGTAACAAAACGATTCAATATATCAAAACGATACTGGAAATAACACCACACATGGACTTTCGGACAGTTTGATAAATCGGGCTATGCAATTGCAATTGATAAAAGATGAACCTAGCCATATACACCATATGTTTTGCTTGTTCTTCACAACCTAGCATAAACACAATAGAGTAAGCAATAACTCATGCAATGCAATGCATACATATACTCGTACCTCACGTTTGTAAAAGGAACCACTATTGCATACATTACAAATACACGCCAAGTCCACAATTTAGTATGGTATGCAATAGCGGTTCCTTTTACAAACGTCAGGAAAATCCGAGGCTTCTCTTCCTCAGGCCCGCACGCATCAACAAAGCACTGATCTGCAACCGATAAAGGGGAGCCAGCGGTAACGACTGACAAAGTAAAGAAAGAGATGGATGGATGCTTCATGCACGCTATCCACCATCATGAAGAAAACCATACACACACGCGCAAAAAGCAAAACACACATAACACAAAACAACAGCCCTATATACAGGCACAAAACCACAGAAAAAAACCGCATTAGTTAGTTAGGTATCTATGTAGTTATTTCTCAAAACACATGACTACGTTTTATCCCATCCATCATGTGCACAATTTCACTCCATTCCCCGCCAAAAAAAAAAGAAAAAGAAAAAAACGGGTAGAAAACGTACAACATATAGCCAACAACAACCACAAATAATAAAGCTCGCTAGATGATCTACTACTTACTAAACTACTACTACTAATACTACTACTTCTTGACTGCTAACTACTGACACTACCGCTACTGCTACTACTGCTACTACTGCAGTTGACTACCTAGCAAATACCTTGACTATGCCGTCTCCACCACCGCTCACAACCCATCTTCCGTCCGCGCTCCACACAACGGCACATACGCCCTCCTCCCGCATCAGTCTGTGCGATGGGATCTCCTGTGTGCACGACCTCTTCTCCATGCTCCAGAAGCGCAGACTTGCGTCGTGGCCCGCAGAGACGAGTTCACGGCCGTCTGGCGAGAGTGCAAGCGATGAGATTGACGCGGTGTGGGCGAGCATTGTGTATGTGCATTGACCTGATTCATTCCCGGGTAAGCCATCTATATACCGACGATTACTGGCACACATGGGGGGAGGAAAACTTACCACTGTTCGCATCGAAAATTCTCACGTAACGGTCCTCATGTCCTGTGATAACGATACCGGCCACGCCGCCCTTAGGTCCTGTCGCTCCCGCAACGAGTTCCTCTTCTTCTCGTCCACTCTCGGCGCCACTGTCAAGACTGATGGTTGATGCGACTACCCAGTTGACACCAGTGGCGGGGGTGCCATCATATGTCTCGTGGCTAGACATTTGCGAGATCTCTTCACCCGATGCAGTGTCATATATAATGACTGCCGCGTCGTTATAAGAGACGATAAAGGAGTCTCCAGAGGCGGAGAACGGTGTGATGCACGTTGGGCTTGCTGTAATATCCGGTCTGACAATAGTCGAGATAAGAGAGTAGCTGAATGGATGGGGAGAGGCCGCAGAAGAAATGCTTCTGACACTACCTCTACGATTCCCCGGACCCATGCCTTGTGGCGCCGGAGGTGGTGATACGCTCCAGATCTTCACTGTCCCGTCTCCAGATCCACTCGCAAGTAGTATTCTCTCCTCCGTAGATCCTGCCATGGATGATGAAACTGGGAGTATGCAAACCGCCCATACAACGTCTGTGTGGCCAACAAGAGTAGCCTTGGGGCCCACCATGTTGGATTCCCATACTCTTACTGTAGTGTCCTGACCCCCGGAGAATATCCATCCCCCCTCATTCAGGCCGCTTTCAAGCTCCCCGACAGCTGGAGGACATGTGGCTAAGCAAGTAACCATTCCTTGGTGCCCCCGGTGGGTAAAGTGACTCTGAATATCCATATCCGACGCTCCCTGTGATAAGCCATAGCTGCCGGGAATGTACCATCTTTTCAGTACACCATCATCACCCGCTGTACAGATCTCTGGCTCATTCTGCGTGCCCCCTCCTGTAAATATAATAGCACGGACCACATCTAAGTGGCCTCTCAGTACGAATTTGGGCTGAAAGCTCCCTGCATCCGAGTTGTTAGTCGCATGGGGATCAACGCGGTGTCTTATAGAAAGCTTCTTTCTGCCCATGCTGTTTGTGGGCTTCCCTGTGTGATGGCTTGAGAAATCGAATTCGTCTACATTCGAAGCATCCAAGTCAACGGTAAGACTTGACTCATCGAAATCCCACCCGTCGCCATCACTTGGGCCAGATGAAGTAGAGCTCTCGTTAAGAGATGCGGTAAATGGGTTGGTATCAGCGCCCGCATTGAATGCGTTGGGCTTCTCTCCCGATTGGTCTCGTACCATCGGTTCCGGTATAGCAGACTGCATCTGGGTCTGCTGTTGTTGCTGGTCACTCCTCATTTCATGGGCCTGGGGGTGAGGATGGGGGTGTGAGCCGGCACGGGACCGGGGCAATGACTGAAAGTTTCCAGCATGGTTAACAGGAGGTTGAGGTAACTGGTGGTTAGGGGCTTGGGAAGGCTGCTGCAGCAGCTGCTGTTGAAGCGATGTCTGCTGTTGCTGATGCTGCTGCTGCTGTTGGTGCTGCTGTTGCTGCTGTTGCTGCTGTTGCTGCTGCTGTTGTTGTTGCTGATGCTGCTGGAGCATCTGATTAAGGTCAAGATTGGACTGCTGCTGCTGTTGTTGTTGCTGCTGTTGCTGCTGCTGTTGCGGGGGTGGGTGGTTCGGGGGTGTCAGAAGATATGTAATCTCCTGTAGGCACTTTTCCAGATATGCCCTGCTTTTGTTTCTGGCAGCTTCAGCTCTGAATACTGCCGACGTGTCTCCGAGAAGGTGTGCGTTTGCCTGAAGTCCCGATTGCGGTGCTACCATCGAGAACTCAGTCAGCACTTCAATAACCTTCCTAACTTCAACACCCCCATCGGCGATTCCAACATACACTTCGAGTGTGCCGAGTTCTCAGTCGGTACCGTCTTGGCCCCCTCCGCACCCTCCGCAGCAGCAGCAGTTGCAGCAGCAGGGCCCTTCTTCTTTAGCGCACTCTCCAGCATCTTTATCCTCGTCATGAGGCCCTGCTGCAGCCTCTTTGCAGCTCTATTCTCGCCCTCCAGCTTCGCGATCCGCGCCTTCATCTCCGCGCGCTCAATCTCCCAGGAATTGCGGTCCCGCTCGTGTTTGTGCCATTCCGTCTGTAGGAACCTCATGACACCTATTTATCCCCCCAACACCATTTCATACCCCACCAATTAGCCAGCTCTTCCCTCTCTGCGTTTTCCCGCTAAAAGTAAGGGAAACTTCAGAAATACCTTGAAGCGTGTACTCCGTGCCTATAGGCTGTGACCCACCACCACCTCCGCCGTTGGGTCCCGCGCTGTTGCCTTGCCCGCCATTATTTCCATCGTGTGATCCGGTGTTCGCGGAGGGTGACTGCCAAGCCATGCTCTCTCACGCGCGCCGATCTTGCTGTATCGAAGCTTTGGGGGTAGGTAGTTGAGGTTGTGGGGGGAGAAGGACAGGGAAACCGGTTATATATATCCCTTCCCTAGTTGTAGCAGCAGTAGATAGTCGAAAAATTAGTGGGGGGGGGATGGATGGTGGGGAAGGAAGAAGGTAAACGAAATAGAGTTGACGCTCGGAGGGTTTATTTTTTTTTCGCTTGGTGGGTTTCGTTCGGGATAACGTGGTGTTGTCCTGTGCACTCCTCGCTCGTTGCCTGCGCCGGTTTCCCCAAAAGGAGGTGAGGTCGGTCGGTGGTGTGTGTGCTATGCTGCCAAGAGAATATGCAAGTGGCGGAAAAATATTAGCGTGAGGTGGGTTAAATAGGGTTGGACTAGCGAAAAGGGGTTTGGTCCGGGGTGTAGTCTAAGGATATCAACAACGATAACTAGAGCTCTACAAACTCCAGGGAAGAAGATGGAGAGGAGGCAAGAGGAATACACACTCTGAAAAAACTCGGAACGGACACGTAAACAGCAGCAAAACCGCTGTCTCTCTCTCTCTCTCGCAGGTCCCTGCCTGATCCAGGAGGGCAAATCCCGAATCTCAGACACACAGTGCAGCAGACGTTGAGCTGTTGGGACCAGCCCCAGTGTGTGGTCGAACTTGGCATTTCACACAAGCTTATCTCGGCCAGTGTGGCGGGAATCCGGGGGAGGAGAAAAGCCACACTGAACCCTGTCAAGGATAGCATCCCATTTTTTTTTTGCAGGTTCAGACATATGCTATCACCCGCTGTGCCTTTTCCTGTTCTGGGTGCCGGTCTGGTGAGTGCTTGAGGCGTACATCTGAGTGGTTGAGATGGATTGAAATGATTATCTTCACAACTAAATATGTAATAGTGACCAAGTAATGTAGTATTCAACTGCAAGTACCTAACTGTGTGCGCAACTCAACCATGAAACATCGACTGAGCTCCACTGAGCTACCGTGGTCCCTCGGACTGAGCTAGCGGGAGCTTCGTAGTTCGAACCGAAACAACGCCCTTCTACGTGGTTCTTAAAACATACCCCGATTCCCCCTTAGACATAAAACACCACACATTTACCTGTAGGGATAAACAGCTCCCCTCACACCGAGACCTCCGTTCCAGCCACAAAATTTATTTTTCAAGGCACCCCATTTACATTGCGGCCTAGGCTTTGGCATCTCTATGCAAATACCCGTCTAAGCATTTCTCAAGAAACCCTCCCTTGACAACCGTCTTCTCTTCACCATAGAAAACCTACAGTCAAACGGCCAGTGTAGGACCTTTAAAAAGTCTACCCGCTGCTAATTATCTCACCCAACTACCCTCTTATCCATCCGCTACCATCCTAAAACACATCCTCAACAGCCTAAATGGAGCAGAACACTAAGATGAACTACTCCGGCAACAACCCCCTTAAACGCCGCTGCACTGCTTCACAGCATCCAGATGCTGCTGCAAGATACTGCAAGAGTGCTCCAGCACCGGGGTGGATGCTCCAGTCTGGAGCCATCTCTCCAACCTCTTCAACTGCTCCTACCTCTCCGTCTGCCTCTGAGGCTGCTACTACGGATACCGAGATGGAGGATGTTGAGATGGGAGGTGCTTCTAAATCTCACGAGAAGGCTGGGAGTCATCGTGGAGATGTTCAGGAAAATGTGGGAGTTTACCGTGAAGATATTCACGAGGAGGTTGGTGTTTATCGTGGAGATATGGCCCGCAAGAGGTTCAATGCTGCCGCGGTGGTTCCAGAGTTGCTCGTTAGGCACAGGGTATTTAAGGGTGGGAAGCCAATCGCGGAGGAGGCAACTGCTTGTTAAAGTTGTGATTCAATGGCTTCGGCTTAGCTGGACTGTTCATAGTTGGGTATTCGTGTGGTAAATAGTACGTTATGTACTATTGGACATAAAGGAGGAATGGGATTGGAGTTATCTGATTTGGGTAAGGAGTAATGGTTGATAGCTCATGATTCATGGTTCCCATATTCCATAAACGCCTGATTTTTTTTCCTTCGCAGTAATAAATGGCTAGCTATGCATCATAGTTACAACAAGTAATATAAAACAATTAGTAGGAGCAAAGCAAGAGAATAGAAAAGAACCTCTATAAAAGTAAAAAGCCACCCATTTTAAGCTTTCTAAAAGACTAACTCCTCCACTTCGAACCCGCACTCTTCACATGTGCGTATTTCCTCACCACTGGGTTTCGTCACCGCAGTACCCCACACATGCTCATGCTTCGATCCCGCATTCTTGCGCCAACTTTCGACCCTAGTCTTCTTTTTCAGCTCTCTAAGCTTACCCCTAAACTTATCATCCTTCCTCTTCTTCCTTTCCTCAGTTCTCTTCTCGAATTCCTTATCCAGGGCCTCCAACCCACCCCACTTCTTGATCGCATGCGCCTCAACCTGGTATCGTAAATACAGCATCATGTTATTCCACGTACTCCTATGCGGATTTGGCTTCTCTAAATGCGGCAGCAACTCTTCATCCCGTAGCTCTGGATCCGTGAGAAGATAGTCCTCCCTCGCTTCCGTCTTCGTCAGCAGACTATACTTCTCCGGCTTAGCGTCTTTACACTTCGTACACACACGGCACCCGAAAACCTCCAGCCACTTCCAATCGATCTCCGGACTCTCGCACTCATAGCACTTCTGCACCTCCTCGCTGTTCTGCAGCGAGCTAATGGCGGGCTCATACGCGCCCGCCTTCTCCTTCTGCAGTTTGGCGCGCAGCTGGTGCGCCGACCACTGCTCGAGCGTCATATGTGCGGGCTTATTTTGGAGATCGAGAGCGGCGAGGGCAGAGTGTGGGTCGTCTTCGGTACTCAGAAATCCACCCTTGGTGTCGGTCATCCGCGAGAAGTCATAGTCGATGTAGTCGCGGCGGGCGAACTTGCGGGCAGGCTTGATGGCGTCAGGGCCTGTTGTGGCGCCTGTGGCGGTGTCACGGACATTAGAGCTCTCGGCGTAGGAGCGCTTTTGGGCAGTAGTGCTGCGAGTACTACGGGGTATTGTGGGGGGCGGTGGTGCTTTTTCCGCGGCGGCTTTTTCGGCGGCGAGACGGTCTTCTCGGATGGCTTTGGCTTTAAGGCGGTTGGTTTCCTGGATCGGTGTTAGGGTGAGTGCTGAGAATGAAAGGTCTTAAGAAGACCTACTATTCGTCGTTTTGCTTCGGGGGTTAGTGGTGGCCTTTGTGTTTCTGGCATTGTTGTACCCTGGGGGTCCTGATGAAGAGGAGGAGGAGGCGTAGAAGGCATTATTTAGTTATTATTACAGGCGAGTGATATCTTTTCTATGTCGTGGACGAGTGAGGACGTCTGTAGCAGTGAACGAGTGAGGTCGTATCCCAACGTATTCAAGTATCGAGTGAGGTTGGTCGTATGCCGTCCTGTGATCGAGTGAAGTTGTATGGTGGAGCGCAAGTACTCCAAGCCCAGTCACAGTCATTTCCAGGGAAGACGCGCCCAAGCAACCACTTTACACGCCCCAGCGCACCGCGTCTGCTGCTTACTAAACGCCAGCGCTGACAAATGAGCCCTGCCAGAGACCCTCGTTTCCCTCGTGACTCACAAACGACCAAAAACCCCAACCAACCAAACCAACCAACCGAACTGCGGAAAACCCATCCGTTCACCTCTTACCTCTCACACACCTCGCACCTCGCATCCCCCCCCCCCCGGGTAAGCGAGGCACGGGCATGGAGTAACTGTCTTTCCGGGATCGAGGGATCGAGAGGGGGCCTGGCTTTTGTTTGAGTTCCTGTTGGGAGTTGGGAGAGAGGCGTGAGAGTAGGTGGGCTATGCTATGCCTTCTCAAAGGCTTGGGAACTTTGTAGGTAGATACAGCTCCGAGCTAGGCCGGCCGGTACCTATGCCTTGTTTACTTTTTGTTTTACTTTGTCTCCGTGAGGACCCCTTTGCTGCTACCTAGATAAGCTACGGAGAGATAAGCATTGCTTGTTGGACGAGCATGAGGGCCTTGCTTTGCCTTTGATTGTGCAGCTCTATGTAAGTTTCTCGGGGATTAAATTTTTTTCTTTCGTTCTTTCGGACGAGAGAGAGGGTGATATAGATAGCTGGGAATAAAAAAAAAAAAATTTAAAAAACGGTGTGGTATGACGCGGGTGTGCAGCAGTTAGGTACGTACATACGGTCTGCGAATGGTATGACATGAATGAGGGTCATGACCGTAAAGTGAGTATATGCAGCACAAGCAAAGGCAGGAAGTTGCAGGTGCAGAATTAACTGATTGATACCCACAGTATCTACCGCAAAGTACCCCTAGTGTTCTTTCCAGCGGTGCGCAGAAAGGGTAAAAAGCACCAAGGCCACTCACTTGCTTGTAGGGTTGAAGCTTTATTAGATCAATAGATAGAGCACCCATGGCCTATGGATGTACAAGGCCACGCAATGGGCATGTCTGCTGCCGTGATTGCGAAGGAAACAAAACAATTTGCTGGGGATCGATGAAAGGGAATCAATTGAAGAACGCGGAGAAGAAGCAGAAGGGTGGGGCATGAGCCTTCTTCTGTTCTGCTTATGAAGACGACATCGGCTTGTTGCAGGAGGAGGCTGCTGCTGCTGCTGCTGGGCGTTCTGCTGTTACTTTATTTTCTTGTTTGGAGGTGCTGGATTATTAGTTAGTGGTGCTACTGCTACTGCTACTGAACACATCCGGATACGGCTTATCCGCATTATTGTAACCACGCGGATAACCTCAGTGGGTTTGTTATTGGGGTGAGGAAGAGAAATAGGAAGAGGGGGGGGGGGGGGGGGGGGGTGTAAGGCAATGAAGAGGGGCACATATGGATATAGAAAGTATGAGGAGAAAAGTACATACACTGCACATATGAGTACTTGTAGTAATAGTAGTCTTTTGAAGCACTACCGATATCGATATCTTATTAATAGTAGATTGTAATTATGGCGTGAGAAGGCCATCATCTAACGGGGGGGTCTATTTAACAACATCTTCATCTTCTGCTGCTGTCGTGCTACCATTATTAATATCGCGATATACTCAGCCTACTACGATCTCTTCTCTTCTCGGCCGCTGCCTCAGTCTTCCCACAGGACAGTAGCTATAGGTAGTAGGTTATCAGGTACATGTGTAGTAATTGTGGTAGAGCCAGTTGCAAGTGGATGTGCCATAGACATATGTAGATTAGCTGTATGTAGGTGTATGCCCTTGCTCACTTAATTCGACATGGTCGTCGCATTGCATCACACATCATCCCGCCGCCTGTCTGCGAACACCGAACGCAGAAAAAGAACAACGCAGCCCTTCGCAACAACCTCATCCACATCCATCCATCCATCCATCATCTTTTCCCTCCGGATCCCTTCAATCGCTGACATTTGTGTTAAGCCTGTGGACCAGGTGCTTGCCGTGAATCGAAGAGCGAACGAACGTCTCTAAACGCCCCTCCTCTACGCTATCGGTATTTCCGCCTGGAACTTACATACGCATACACCAGCCCACCACCTCAATACCACCGCAACCCCCCAACCCCTCCACAAAAAAAAAAACTAATAAAATAATATCGGAGCCTTGTCTTGGGAGAGAGAAGTTGTTACATATTTCTCCACCTTGAAGAACAAGAGAATTTCCTCCCCAGCACAGGGAACAGGGAGGGAGAGGAACAAGATCACGGAGGAGAAAGAAAGAAAAAAAAACAGATATCAAATAAAATCTTTTCTATTCAACTTACATAGCAAGACTTGAGGGAGAAGCTAGGGAGAGATAAAGCACGCATAAAGGACGCTTTTTTCCCTATACGTCCGTCCGTTCGCTTCACCCGCTCTGCTCTCTCTTCTCTCCCGTTTCCACGCAGCTTCTTCTTCATCTTGTACACCATCTTCGTGCTCCTCTACGCAATCTCCACCCCCCCCCCCCCCCCCCCACAAGGCAGAGGGACTCACAGACATCAGTCGTCTTCCACCCTCACTTCCGTTCACCCCACGTCCGTTCTTACATCACAACCCCCCGTGCTTTTCGCCTCCCGGAATATTCCAAACACGCGCTCAGACCTAACGCTCTAGCGCCCTCCTGCAGCCAGGTTCCCTTTTAGAAAAATGACAACCCCTCCCCAACCCCAAAACCAAACCATCCACACCAGCAGTAACCATCACAACACCAACGGTGGAGGATCTGCCAACGCTCCCACAGCATCCGGTCGCTCTCGCAAGAGACCCGCGCCAGGAACCTCTGCCCCAATCATCTCGCCCATTCCCGCCGTGACCACGACATCGCCTTCTCCGCCGCCCTCGCTTTCCGGCCCTGATATGAGCTACCTAGGCCTACCCCAAACCTCTAGTCCCCGTCTCCCACAGTCCTCACTGCCGCCTGGCCAGAACATCTACCCTACCGTGCCACATATCGTCGAGGCGTATCGTTCACAGCAGCAGGTCCCGGTATCTCCGCAACAGCAGCAGCAGATTGACGCCAACAGCCAGATTGCCCTGATAAACCGCGGTACAAACACGCTTATCCGGATGCCGTACAACACGGGCCCGACGGGAATGCCGCAGATGGGACCATCGGCGGCACAGATGGGAATGATGGGGGTAACTGGACTTGGTCAGGTTATTGGGCCGCCGGGGCAGGTGGGACCGGACGGGATGGATCTGGCGTTTGATAGGGAGCTGCAAATGAGGATTGACAAGATGAGGAAGAAGAGGGCGACCATTCCGCCGTTCGTACAGAAGCTCAGCAGGTACGTGTGAGGTTTTATACTTTTCTTTTCTCTACCGGTGTCGATCCTTCGGACCTATATGCCTTATATCCGAGGGGTTTGCTTTCACCTGATGGTTGGGATTCTGTTGCTTCTGGGGGGTCAATTCGTCCCGACAGCCGATTGGACGATTGTTGCTGATGATCCGGGGGTTGATAGCTTTGTGAACGACCCGAAGACAGACGCACTCATCCGGTGGTCTCCATCCGGAAATTCATTCCTGGTTCTTGACGAGGATGAATTCTCAAAAACCCTTATCCCAGACCTTTTCAAGCACAATAATTACGCTTCCTTTGTTCGACAGCTCAACATGTACGGATTCCACAAGGTCGTTGGTCTGGCAGATGGCTCACTCAAAACATCGGAACAGCGGAGCAAGCCACCGAGCGAGTATGAGAACCCATATTTTAAGCGCGGACAACCGGATCTTATGTGGTTGATCTCAAAGCCAAAGGGGAAAGGAAAGAGGAAACAGCCCAAGAAGAATCACCAGGAGGACTCGGACAACGCGGAAGATCTCAGTGATGGGGACGGGGAATTTGGTGACGGGAACGGAGGAAGAGGATATATCGAGGGCCCCAAGGCGGAGGGCCAGGATGGCGGTGGGAATCATCAGCAAAGTAACGGGGGAGGGAGAAGTACTAGGCCAGATATCGCGGCAGTTATCCAGCAATTAGAGGCAGTGAGAAATCACCAGGCTATGATCTCAGCTGCAATTAATCGTTTAAGAAAGGATCATAACCAGCTTTATGAGCAGAGCGTGGCGTTTCAGACTCTCCATGATCGCCACGAGAACTCAATTAACGCGATACTATCATTTTTGGCTACAGTGTATGATAAGTCTCTTGGTGGCAATATCAATGGCCCATTCAGCACTCTGTTTCAGAACCAAGTTGAGCATTTGCAGCCCCTTCATCAGCAGGGAGTCGGTGCAGTTGTAGGGAATACAGGCGGGGCAATAGTCACCCCAAGGCAGGGCCAAAGAGGCAATGCCAACCAAATGGCACGGCGGCGGCAGCTTCTCCTTGAAAACGGCCCCCAAATTCAAATATCTGAAGAAGAGTCCCCCAAACCCCAAACATCACCCATTATCTCCAAGCCCAACGTTGGCTCCCAGATGAAATCCAACATGGGGTCTCCTGTGATCCAGAATTATCAAACCTACCAGAGCCCCAGCATACAAGAACTCAATGGCCAAGACACCACGACCTCACGAGGGGGCGGCAATACCGACCAGTACCAGAACCACCAGCAAGCACAGTACCCCAACATCTTTTCCCTCCCCGACTCACCCATCGGCCGCCAAACCGCATCTTCGCCCGTCTCGGCACACTCGATGACCCCCCGCCTCTTTGCTCGCCCCTTGGCACAACCGGGATTATCGGCACAGACACTACAAGAGCATAATGCGCAGCTCGCAGCAAAAGCCCGAGAAATTGAGGAGCTCGAGGAGCTTCAAACCGCGCAGACACACCATGTTGACGAACTCATGGACATGATGACCAAGTTTGCGGACACGGACGCGGCAACCAACGGTGGTGCTGGGCACATGAACGGCAACGGAGGCGTCGACAGCGGGGGCACCAACATCGACGAGTTCCTCAACTGGGGACTCAATGGTGATGGGAGCATGGCAAACGGATTTGCGGTCGACGGCGGTGACGGACAATCGGGGCTTGAGGGTGTCGACGACCTGAATGCTCTCTTTTCTTTCAGTGCCAATGGCCCGGATGCCGACGCGTTGAATGTCCTTTCCGGTAATAGGGACAGTGGTGGGCTCGGCGTGGGGAAAGTACTTACAAACCCGAGCACGGTTGTAGCATCCCCGGCAGGGAGCACAGCAAGCCGAGCTAGAGAAGAGATTGATGAAGAAGTTGAGGAGGTGGCACCAAAGAGGAGGAGAATGGGGTAAGTAATACTACTACTAATTACTGGATTTTTTTTTGTGTGTTTTTTTTTTTTTTTTTTTTTAAATACAAAAAAGCGCGATGAATTGGATTTCTGAGAGTATAGGGCTTTCTTGCAGGGAGGGAAATGATGACCTTGATGCAGACGACTCTTTGGTCAATGAGTTGGAGCAACTGCTGGCGGTAGTGCCGAATCCTGGCGACGCTGGTGCTAAGCTGGACGACACAAGGGTGCAAGCGATAGTATGAGGCTACCCTTTTCTCCTTTCTTTATCTTTTTCCTTTTTTTTTTTCTGGTGCGGTTGGGATGTACGAGGCATAAGTACAGGATAAAGGCACATCTATTTGCTGCGGGAATTCACGGAACTCATGAGACTCGTGGATTGGGGAGAAGGCGGGTATATCTTGCTGTGGTATACCATGTCGTGGTGGGTATACATGTCATAGATTAGGGGTTTGGTTTAGTTTGGTTTTGCATGGCTGTCTTCCGGCTATTCTTTCCCCTCTCATTTTCTTTCAAACATGAATTCGAGCGGGTTTTGCAGAGAGACATATGTTCTTTTCTCTTATATATACCTGATATTTCGACCAAGCAAGCTAGCAAGCTGTCGTTTCTTCACGAAGTCATGTCGTTCTTCTATCTATCCCTGGCATACCCTTATGTATGTTTATACCCTCTTTTAGCTACAGACCTCTTTCTCCTCATGCCATATGTATGCCATATCGGACTGTCTTTATAGATGTTGCTGCTATCTGTCTTGTCCTGTCCGGCTATCTGTCTGTCTATGAACCCATATTAGTTTTGCAGCTTTATCTGCATCGATCTATCTCTTCTCTCTTGTACTACTCTCATCTCTTATCTCCTATCTCTACTCTAGGTGTACCTTACCATTTTTTCTTGTATCCCCGTTTTGGGATCTCTAGTTCATTGGCCTCATATTATTATCTACTTTATTGTTACTTTTGGGGGGCCTTTTTCTGTTTTGTTTTTTTCTTTCTCTTTCTCTTTTTTTATCTTCCTGTGCGGGGGTTGGAGGTTTTCTGCTACGTAGGCGGGGTTCTCTTTCATTTTTTTAGTGTGCTTTTTCCTTAAAAACAACCAACAGAGGCGGAGAGATAAGGGAAGCCACATTCCTAGGACAACACCTCCACAGCCTCAACGACGACGGTAGCCCCACCCCCCCCGGAATAAAAGTTTACTACATGACTTACTTGTTTTCTCTATTAAATCTATTTTTATCTCATCTAGTTTTATCCCATCTGGTTTTCTAGGTCATGTTAGGTTATTAGGTCATATTAGGTCATGTTAGGCTCATTATTTTTGGCATTTGTTTTTTTGGTTATGGGTTTTTTTATTTTTATTTTTCTGTATTCGTGGTACACTTAGATTTTTATTCTCTATCATTTTTGTTACAGGTGGTTGAAATAAAGTATTTTGGGCACTTGCATCACAGTTTCTCACTCGTGCTCTTTGAGCCCTGGATGAATGCCTGACCGCCTGACTGCCTGACTGCCTAACTGACTGTAGTGGTGGGGTGAGGTGAGGTTAAGGTTGTGTTGGCAGCTGGGTGGCGGGTGGCGGGTGTGTGACTTGGTGCGATGGTGGTGGTGGTGGTGGTGGTGGTGGTGGTGGTGGGGCGGTGTTGGTGGGTGTGGTGGGGAGTATTGGTCGGGAAAAGCTTATTTTGACAGCGAGCTAGGTGGGCGGGTGAGGTGATGTGATGTGAGGTGAGGTGGTGAGTTTTTTTTTTTTTTTTTTTTTTTAGGACCGGTTGGGTTGATAGGTTTTCTGCTCTGGTAACTAATCGCGGGGGCTTCTTTGTGATGTATGTTCTTTTCGCTAGGTGCCTGCTGATTTAGGGAGGCGTGGTGGTGGTGGTGGTGAGTGGTGCTTCATTATGTCTTGATGAGTTGTGGTTTTGAAAGGTAGAATGCAATGTCGGTTAAACAAATGCAGATCCGTTGAAACTACATGTGGGAACGACTGGTTGGTTGCTAGGTGCTACCGTTGTTGATGGGTAGCGTTATTAATTGCCGGCGCTTGCTCAGTCATGATATATCACTCGGCTGGAATATTATTTCCCTACACACTCTCTCACATTTGATTTGTTTGATTGGCTCGTTCAGTAAGCTCCCGTAATAAAGTGAGTAACATTTGCTATATACGGTGATGATCATCTAAGTACATTATTATTTACCCCTCAACACCAGCTTTTCGATTCTATCCCTATACCATTTGTTGCTTTCCACGGCCAGCAGCTAACTATATAAATATTTTTCTTTGCTTTCCACCACCCACCAAGCTCCAGCACTCAATCAAACAGAAAGGCATTCCTCGCCTTCAAGTTCAACTGCATACTCATGCTCGACACCAACGCCACACACTCCTTCCCCTCAAACCACCCCGTCTGATCCATCCTCGTCTCATTATCCCTCACATACTCGAACGAGAGCCTCCTGCCCAGCCTCACCTCCCCCAGCGGCCCACACGGCCTCACCACCTCCGTCAGACAGTGCGCCAGACTCTCCCACCGCGTGCTCCTCTCAAACCCAATCAAGTTCTGAAACAGCGCCTCCACCTTCGCATCCTCACACACCCTCACACACGTGAACCCCTTCTCCCCCGCCTTCAGCCCCACCAGCGGGTCCTGCGAGCCCCCCGCCTCCGCAGGGACAACACTAATACACACATCCCAATGCCTCTTCCCACACACCCTCGCATGATCCTTCTGCCAGCCGCAGCCCAGGAGGCCATCCAGCCCCCAGAACACGCCCTCACTCACCGGCGCCAGCCGTCTCCCATAAAACCCGTCTGTGGGGCACTGCGGCAAGAATGCGGCAGCGGCGCGGCCATGGTGCGGCGGGGGCCCGGCGGGCGCAACAACCCACTCGCCGATGCCGAGCCAGAACTTGTAGAGGTACTTTCGCTCCTGGGCGGGGACGCGCACGGTGCAGTATGTGCGGCCGTGGTCGCGGCCCGAGGCGCTGTTGCCGATGCGGAGGAGGAGGGTGGCGCCGGTGGGGGGGAGGGTGGTCAGGTGCGACTGGGAGAGGTCCCAGAGGCGTTGGCCGTGCTGGCTTTTGATGGTTAGGCCGTTGGATTCTTGGTTGACGAGGGTTGTGGGCGGGGCGTTGGGGTTGGCGATGAAGTGGAGGGAGAAGGGGGGTGCCATTGTGGCTGGTTTTGGGGGGGGGGGGGGGGGGTGGGTTGGAATTGAGAGGTGGGTTTGAGGACGGAGATGATATGATGGCCCCCGTTGGTAAACGGGATGATGGGCCCGGTGATGAACGGGGTAGGAGAGATGAGAGATGAAAAGGAAGAGATGAGAGGGGAAGTTAGAGGAGAAGGAGAATAGAGGGCTGAGGAGAGTAGACATCCAGCTAACAAGGTTGATAGCTTAGGACCCGCTCTACGCAAGACCCCCAGCTAGCAGTCCGCCCACCCGAGTACAGCTACATGCATACGCCAATCTCGTGAGCCGCAATAGCAATAGCCCGTAGAGCCCCCAGTACTAATGGATGGACATATGAGGATATAATCTATGGCACTAGCATTCCCAATTGGGCGTCTCCAACTAATTTCCATGCGGCTCTATCATGAGACATCACTCGTCCGAGTGATAATATTGGAATATTGGAGTGGTGTTGGCCAATCAGGGAACCCCCCGGCACAACAGGCAAATATTGCCATGGTAACAGAGCTCCCAGATGGATACTTGTGGCATGTGGGATCAGTTTACTCCAAGTCGAGTAGAATTTATTTACTACAGCTCCAGGGTTATTATTAGAGCAGTCAACACCAGCCATTAGTATCAATCCCTCATAAGGAGCTAATTGATGACCAATCCAGCCTTTGCGGGTTGGTCCCCATCAGTACCCCGTTTTTTCCGGCGGTGATGCTGAGAAGGCAGCGAACGCCGCAAAACGATTCCGAGCGACTGGAGCCGGTACTAAACCTTACTTTATTCACAACACGTGTCTTTATTCAAAGTAATAAGATCTTAAGAGCACACGCTATTCCAACGATACATGCCCTGATGGCCAAGCTGGTAAGGCGCAGCACTTGTATGAGATGCTGAGATCCCTGGTTCAAATCCGGGTCAGGGCAAGAAGAAGCTGCGAAGAAGTGGGAGATGCAGCATGAGATCCATTTTTTGGTTCTCGCATTGACTTTTTCAAGATTGAGCGTTCAACGCTCATAATCTACCAAAGAAGTCCTCTCTCTACCGGCGGGACCCCGACTCCTAGCACACTGCAATAGATAAATACAACAACAAAAAGGCCGTTCTGAACAAAACCGAAGCGGCACCGGCATAGAACCAACCCCGAAGTGCCCCCCCAACACCGCCTAAACCCCACCAAAAAAGGAAGCCTCATCTGCTAGAAGAGACCGCCAAAAGACTGAATCAGCCGGGAATCGAACCCGGGTCGGGCGCAAATCATCCAAGAGATGGCAAGCGCCCGTGATACCACTACACCACTGAATCGTGGTTTCCGGAGAAGAATTTGCATTTATGAAAAAAAAAAAAATCGTTACTAGTTAGCGCTGGTTTGGCTGACCAGGGTCTTAGTAGCTGTCTCCGTTAGTACTTCTTGGCGGGGAGGAGACTTGGCGGTGGGATATGCTAGATCGAGTGGTGGTGGGTGTGGGGTTGGTTGTGTTGAAGGATATTGCGGGGAGTCTTGGGGACGATAAAGCTAGAAGAGAAGAAATGGTGTCTTTGTGGTTGTGATGGTTGTGGTGATAGTGGTGGTAGATCTGTTCTTGTAGGCGCTCTGTAGAGCTAGGTCGAGAATGAATAAATGTTTATTACCTGCTATGAAACGAGAGAGAGCAACGGGGTTTCTATTCAGATCATAATCCCGAGCCCTTAACTGGTTGTTGGGCCAAATGTATTGTGAAAATTACTAGCTCTAATCACCGAGTGATATTTTGTGAACTAAGCTTCTCACAAGACCTATGGCGCTGCAACACAGACAGGGGGTTTCAATAAGCACGCAGGCTTTCGGACGAAAGCGCGCTTTTATGTTAAGGCTATCTAACGATAGTTATGATTCGAATCTGCTTTCTATGTTCCCCTAGATAAAACCATCCATTACAACAGATCCGGCCCGTCTTCACATTCCTGAGAAATAAGGTTCACTTGGCACACACTGCACGTCAAAATGTATCCACTCAACCCTCCGTCCACTACTGACACATCCACCACTGCCCACCTCGAAATCCAGATCGGACCAAGACAAAACCTCTACCCTGGCCAGACCCGAAAAGAACCTGTCACTTCTACAAGTAAAGCTTCCAGCCAATCAGCAGAGATGAGTGGGGCCTGTGTTATCAAGTACTACAACTACCCCGGCGTCGGTGTCCGCAACAGGCAGTACCTCAACTACAGCCAAGCCTGCAGGGTCGGCGACAACATCGAGTGCGCCGGTCAAGGTACATACCGACTCCCTTTCTACTATCGAAGATGATCAGACAAATACTAAAGCTCTACTCAACAGGCGGCTGGGACCCGCTCAACGGCAGCATCCCCGCCAGCATCGACGAGCAGATTGACCAAGCCTTCGAGAACGTCGATCTCGCGCTCAAGAAGGCCGGCGGCAAGGGATGGTCCCAGGTCTACAAGATCCGCAGCTACCACGTGGCCATGGATAATGCGTGCTTGGTTGCGATGATCCGGAACTTGCAGAAGTGGTGCCCGAACCATGGGCCGTTGTGGACGTCGTTGGGGGTTGAGAAGCTGGCGGAGGCGAAGATGGTGGTGGAGATTGAGGCGGAGGCGTATGATCCGCGGTAGGTGGATGTGTGTGTGTTTGTTTTGTGTGTATGGGTGTATTGGGGGGCATGGTGCGGTTGGTTCGAGTACATGTAGCTTCACATACGTGTATATGAGAATCTGGTCAGACATGTAACTCAATATACTACATACATATTCCCCACGGAGCTTCGTAGGCCTGGTATGTGCTATGGTAAGTGAAGTTCTGTAAGTCGTACTTGTGTTTAGTATCGCAACACTACGATCCAGGTCAGTATAGCTAAAGCACACCAAATATTCTTTATATGCAAAAATTGAGGTTTATTTAGACCCGGCATGACAAATCAATGTTCCTTTAGACTCCGACATAAAACTGAGGTTTATTTTGGTTCCGGTATCAAATTTTTCAGAAAATCAATGCAGCATGCTCCAGACCATTATGTACGGTAGGGACTGGGTACGAGACTATATATGGTCCACGTGTCGACTGGATTGAACGATCTCAAATACATATACTCTTATATAAGAATACATATCTGGCAAAACCAACGTATCCCCACCACCGTCGGTCCCCGAACCTCATAACCCATTCCAAATCACATCAACCCACCGAAACCAGCAAAATCTCACTCAAAACACAATCACAATGAAGCCAATTCATCTCGCAGTTCTCATATTCTCCCTACTACTCCTAAACTTTGTCAATCTTACCACTGCCAGGAGCATCAACTTCCCCAGATCCACATGGCTAGCAAACATTCTTTACCCCCGTGCGAATGACGGCAACCCAAAGCCCGACACTTTTATCTGCACAACCACCAATAGCTCTCCATTCCAGAACCACGTTCAATTTGGTGCAGAAGAAATGAGAAAGGCTCAGGGCAATCACTGGTGCACACAGGAAAGTCGGGATGGATGTATGGAGCTGATTAACTACGGCACTGCTTTCGTCACTATGTGTGGGGAGTACAGGACTAAACTCAGATGCTATCACCTAGTGGATGCACTCAACGACCTTGTTAGAGCATGTACCAAGGATACTGGTACGATTGGGGGGAAGTTAAGAATATCCGGAAGGGCCGTATTTGATTGGGGATACCTTGAGGTTACAAATAAGTAGTGCGTAACGATACTGTTTCTGGATGAAAGAATTTCTGGGTGAAATCAACTTCTAGCGTACCTAGATTTGGCGTACTAAAAAGAAGTGTACTAATTCGTTATTATTAATGGGGTTTAAGGGGTTTAATGGGGTTTAATATTTTTCGGCGTGTCTAGTAGGCCTTAGGGTTGTTGTTTACATTAATTTAAGATTAAGACTTGGAATTATCTTAGTGTGCAAAGAACGGAGTGGAAGCCACATTATCGAAATCTGTGATAACATAGATGCCATAAATATTTTGAAACTTTAATATCAAGATGTTCAGCCGCCAAGGTAAATTCTTAAACCGTACTATAGGGCTGCGTCCGCGGAATAATATCTATGAATTGAGCACATCTATATACCCCAACCACTCCCCAAGATGTTGTAAAGCCTCTAGAAAGTAATATATTATAGTTAAACCTAGCTATTAAGAAACGTCGAGTAACAAAATGAAATGCTATAATTAGAAAACTTTTTCTAATAAAACCATCGCCCACACAAACTTAATTCGTAATCCATGCACCCAAAGGAAATATAAAATGTGACCATTCATGCCCCGTGCTTCCTCAAAAATTCCTCCACCGACTTGTTAGACCAAAGTGATGCCAAGTAAACTGCAGTTTTTCCGTCCTTATTTTTATTCTGAATATTTGCGCCCTCCTTTAACAAAATTGCAACCACTGACTCATGTCCATATTTTGCGGCCAAATGGAGAGGTGTGTTTCCGGAGTGATTCTTGACATCAATGTTAACGTGGGAGCCCTCTCTAAGAAGCAGTTTTGTCAAAGCTTCGTCCCCATTCTCCGCCGCCACATGGAGTACTGTTGTACCGTGACGGTCTCGAGTCGTAATATCCGCCCCGTTCAGCAGGAGCATCTCCGCTACGGCCTTGAACCTGTACAGCACTACAAGGTGTAGGGGTGTCATTCCACAAGCGTCCTTTAGATTCGGATCAGCCCCCCTCTTCAATAACAATGCGACAACAGCCTCATGTTCGTGCTTTGCGGCAAGGTGAAGAGCTGTGTCGTGGATTTGCGAATCTATCCTAGCGCCGCTGTCCAGTAGAAGCTCAACCAGCTTCACTTTACCAGCTCTAGCTGCCAGATGAAGCGGCGTGTAGCCCAGGAGATCAAGGCGGCCGATATCAGCGCGTTGGCTTTGCAATGTTCCGAATTGTAGGAGCTGTGTATGAGTATCGACACGAGATCTTTTACGCAACAGGAGCTTCGCCGAAACTTCATCGCCCTCCCATGCCGCCAGGTGGAGTATTGTCTGCTGGCTGACATTGACGAGGACCTCTGTACTTGCACCTTTGTCCAACAGTAACCTGAACAGTGCTTTATGCTTGTTTTCGAACGCCCAATGGAGACATGTCCATGTCCTACGCCCCTCAGTAACAACAAGGAATACCCCTTTTTTCAACACCTGCTTGACAATGTCGTCGCTGCATTTTGAGGGGCCCTCAAACATTACTTGGAGCTTCTTATTGAGGGAGTTTGCGCCGTAGGTACAAATATCGTCAATAACGATCTTTGGACCCTTTTCAAGAACCAATCGAACCATCGCTTCGCGTCCAATCGCAGTAGCCCAGAACAACGCCGCTAACGCGCACTTCTTATTCGTAACTGCTGATTTGTGAAGATCTGACATTAACAAATTGGCGAGACGACGGTTGGTTAGAACCAGAGCTCTGAGATCGCTTGGATGGAGCTCCTTTGCGATCGGCAATAGGAGCTCATTCGGTAAATCGAGGAGGGCCATGTTCCAAATATTTGAAGTTCTTCTCAACCGACAGGGATCGATATAATAGAGCTCGAGTCGGAATATCGTCAACAACTGATTTTGTATGTAATTGATTTGTACCCACCTCCTGAGAAGCTTTTGTAGGCTACAATCGTAATGCCTACATATACTAGTAAACACGACATGCCTCGGACCATCCACGTCATCCCGCCCTAACCCTGCCAACAGTCAGCAATCCCCAGCCACACGTACCGGTACTGTATGTATGTAGGAATTTTAATCAACAAAAGAAAACATCAATTTTTAGGCTTTATTAGCCTACCAGTCTAAACAGGGTATTGAAATAAAGGATTTAATTAACCAACGGTAAAACAAAAATTATCAGCTTGTGGCAAGAATGAGATGTTGACAATTATCGGTTACATCCCAGACATCACGCGAGTGACAGCTGATGACTGAAAACGGTGGTGGTAGATACATATATTTACCGGAGCAAGGTATATTAAGGCTCTGTTCGGACGGACGTGGTATTGCATGGATGGTATCATGCTCTGAGATAAAACCAAGTATTCGCCAAGGACAAAAGTGTTCGGATACGAGACAACGGGAAATAAATACCTCCAGAGGTATTTGTTAAAACCATGGTATTTTGTAGCGTATTCATAGTATAAAAACCAATAAATTAGGCCATCCGAACACTCAAATACTACACTGACTTACACACCTTCCTACTCAGGGTGAATACTGGACGCCTTCCCGTAAGCTATAGCGGGCGTTCAATTGCCGGATAGATCAAATTTTGCTGTTCTATCGAATAGAACAGGGGGGTCTATGTGTTTCTTATAGACCCCCCCTAGGGAGGGGGGTCTATTCGATAGATATACTCTATCCATTTTCTATCCGTTGCAATAGAGAGAACACCTTGCTAGCGAAAAATAGTCCCAAAAGATGGCTTAACGATACCCAATTTGTATTAGGCACCGATTATAATCGATTAGATTTCTAGGAAATATATCAATCACCGTATGCTTACGGGAACCTTGTCTATTCGAAAACCATCCTCTATTGCAATAGAACACGTTCAATAGCTTACGGGAAGGCGTCCACTATAGTATTGACGTCCGTCCGAACAGAGCCTAAGCTAAATCTGAGCTCTAAGAATAGAGAGACAACCATTGAATCCGCATTTTGATGTGGCATTCACCACACTTGGTATCGAAATCAATCATACGCAAATTATGGTATCACAAAAAGGGAGCAAGATAATTCAGTTTGGCCTTCCTCTGTTCCTCAAAGGTCAAGTGCCATAACACCTTGTGCACCAAATCTATCGCCTTGATACAGTAAAACACGCGAAAGCGATCCCACACAAGTAGATGCAAGTAAAAAATAGAAGAGAAGGGGAGAAAAAAGAAAGGCGTGTATTCCCAAACGTCACTTTTCACCACCCAACACGCGAGAAGAATTACACACAAAAAAAGGGAAAACACAAGCTCGGCGTACCAAGGACTGAGTAAATCACATATTTTCGAAGGGGGAACAGGATGCGCAGTTGTGAAGATGCTGCTATTCGTTCCGAAGTCATAGTTTGAATCCCTTATTTCCCGACGAATCTCATCAAGACAGTTTCGTGTGATACCTCGCTATAATCGGTTCCTTGAATTTCAGCGTGGATCCCTTGCAGAGACCGGCGGAGAGCTTCCTTGGAGGAAGCGTAGACCATCTTGGACTGTAGGACGACCGAATCAGTATCTGCTAATGAGAAGATGGGGCGTGATCCTATACCCTGACCGGGGCATCATCAGGAGACCAAGTGTAGAAACAGATCTTGTTCCTATGTGAGTACTATCGTTAGCATACAACCCATGGGATATAAATAAAAGGTACGTGTACAGAGGGGGGGAAATAGGACAGCAAATGGAGCCAATAGAGCCGATATTCCATATCGATATATCAATAAAAACACTTGCGTGTGCAACAAGAGGAATTTGGTCTATGTGTGTAGGGATAGTGTATTTACCTCGTTCCTTCACCACCTTCTAAGTCGTACTCAAAGTCGTAGATTGCGTATCGGCACTCGGTTTCCGGAAGATCACCGATGAATGTTTCATAGTCGCACTCGGTCGAGCTCTTCTCGACCTCGATGTTCTTCTTGTCGTCGCTAAGCTTGAAGATGATGTATTTGATCTTCTTCCCGAGCTTAAGTTCCTCGAACGCGGGAACGCATTCCTTGGCAAGGCCAACTCTGGTAAGAAAAGGATGAAAGGTTAGCTCGACACTCATGTTTATCAAGTTCCAGACACAGTATCAAGTTGATTCATGATGAAGATGGGCTTTGTTGAACAGGGATATATTTCAGGGGGAATACCCAGAGCGAGACTACAACAAAGGATGCGTCAGTGAACAGTCTCCAGATTTGAGAGGAGGTTAAGGATGAGTCCAAAGGAAGAATATTACCATAATGACAGAGAGCTTTAAAAGATACGAGGTGATCTAATGAGAAAAGCATTGTGAGCACAAAGCGGGGTCACCACGTCAACGAACGGCGAGCTGGGATGGAAAGGAATAAAAGCAAGCAGCGAGATAGAGCAGGGCGAGACTGTTATTACAGAAGTGGAGAGAGGACAAGACAAACCTAGGTGAGGTAGATGAGGAAGAAGATATGCAACGAGCGGGAAGATGAATGAAGATGAAGCTGGTAGGATGTTTATTGCACCGCAAGGGCTTGTTGATTAGGGGGGTAGAAGGGAATCTTGCTGGAGGGGTGGGATGGGCTTGAGCGGTTGGAGGCTGGAGGGGTTAAGCACGGCAAGCCCTAGCAACCCACTTTCCCTCTTCAACATCAGGCTTAGCCACACATGTTATTACTCTATGACTCGGCTCACAACAAACCCAATGTTGTCGGTCAACAAGAGTAGATAACAATGGGCTTGTCAAATAGTAATCCCGTTCCCCCTCGGGAACTTTGAAAGAAAATATGCCAAGACTTTCCAGATGTTTCTCTTCGACACCCCACAAATTTTTCCCTCCGTCATTATTTCTTCTGCCCCTCCCCCCATTTCACATTTCCTCTGCATCTTTAATCAACCTGCAGTTCGTTTGAGAAGTGTTCTTCATCCAATTCTTTGTGTAGTTCCGCTTAATTTCGTGAATTCACACCACAGAAACCACAATGCAGAGAGCAATGTTCACCGCTACCCGGGCTAAGCCCTCGGCTGCCACTCTGAGGCCCTTCGTCCAGGCCAGAGGATATGCTCACAAGGTTCGTTTTTCTTGTCGACACTATTTGTATCTTCAATTGCATTCTCCACAGGCTTTTCTTGGTTATAGTTGTGAACGATATTATATCGAGTTCCCATAGATATAAAACATTGACTAACTAGTGGCATTACAATGGTTTAGGAACTGAAATTCGGTGTTGAGGGAAGACAATCGCTCCTGGCTGGTGTTGATATGCTTGCAAAGGCTGTTGCAGTTACTCTGGGCCCTAAGGGACGCAATGTCCTCATCGAGTCACCTTACGGAAGCCCAAAAATCACCAAGGGTAAGTTCAAACTCTTTAATTTACTCTAAAGTTGAACGAACTAACCCGATATTTTGTATAGATGGTGTTACTGTCGCAAAGTACGTACAATTCTATCCAGACAGGATACACAAAGTCAATGCTAACCGATCGTAGGGCTATCACTCTCAAGGACAAGTTTGAGAACCTCGGTGCCCGTCTTCTTCAAGATGTTGCCTCAAAGACCAATGAAGTCGCTGGTGATGGTACTACCACTGCCACTGTCCTCGCCCGTGCCATATTCACCGAGACCGTCAAGAACGTCGCTGCCGGATGCAACCCCATGGATCTCCGCCGTGGAACCCAGGCTGCGGTCGAGGCCGTTGTTGAATACCTCCAGAAGAACAAGCGCGATATCACTACTTCTGAGGAGATTGCGCAGGTCGCCACCATCTCTGCAAACGGAGACGTTCATGTTGGAAAGCTTATTGCCAACGCCATGGAGAGGGTTGGGAAGGAGGGTGTTATCACCGTCAAGGAAGGCAAGACCATTGAAGACGAGTTGGAAGTTACCGAGGGCATGAAGTTTGATCGCGGGTTCGTCTCCGCCTACTTCATCACCGACACCAAGTCCCAGAAGGTCGAGTTCGAGAAGCCTCTCATTCTCCTCAGCGAGAAGAAGATTTCCGCTGTTCAGGACATCATCCCCGCTCTTGAGATCTCCACCCAGCTCCGCCGCCCACTTGTCATTATCGCCGAGGACATCGAAGGTGAGGCTCTTGCCGTCTGCATTCTCAACAAGCTCCGTGGCCAGCTCCAAGTTGCCGCCGTCAAGGCCCCTGGCTTCGGTGACAACCGCAAATCCATCCTTGGAGACATCGCTATCTTGACCAACGGAACTGTCTTCACCGATGAGCTCGATGTCAAGCTCGAGAAGCTCACTGCCGACATGCTGGGTTCCACCGGTTCTATTTCAATCACCAAGGAGGACACCATCATCCTGAACGGAGAAGGTTCCAAGGATAAGATTGCTCAGCGCTGCGAGCAGATCCGTGGCGTCATGAACGACGCTACCACCTCCGAGTACGAGAAGGAGAAGCTCCAGGAACGTCTCGCCAAGCTTTCTGGTGGTGTCGCCGTCATCAAGGTCGGTGGTGCCTCTGAGGTTGAAGTTGGTGAAAAGAAGGACCGTATTGTCGATGCTCTTAACGCCACCCGCGCGGCCGTTGAGGAGGGCATTCTGCCCGGTGGTGGTACCGCCCTTTTGAAGGCTTCCAAGAACGCCCTGAACCACCTTAAGCCTGCCAACTTCGACCAGCAGCTCGGTGTTTCAATTATCAAGTCCGCCATCACCAAGCCTGCCCGAACAATCGTGGAGAACGCTGGTGGTGAGGGGTCTGTCGTTGTTGGAAAGCTCACTGAGGAATTTGGCGAGGATTTTAACAAGGGATACGACTCATCCAAGGGCGAATACGTTGACATGATCGGAGCTGGTATTCTTGACCCCTTCAAGGTCGTTAGAACCGCTCTTACCGATGCCTCTGGTGTTGCCTCCCTGCTGGGAACCACTGAGTGCACTATTGTCGATGCTCCTGAGGAGAAGGGCCCCCCTGCCGGTATGGGCGGTGGTATGGGTGGAATGGGTGGCATGGGTGGCATGGGCGGTTTCTAAACTAAATCATTTTCTTCCTGAATTCATCTGCCCCCCAAAAAGTATAATCTGTGCGTGTGTGGAGAGGAATTAATGAATGCGATGTGAAATGATGGGTGTTTAGTCAAGTCTTTCTCTAATTTGTCTTATATTTACTTGTATCTATTTTTACATGGGTTTTTCCGTTTAAGTCGCTCCACTCACTCATTCCCTCATACCTATTCGACATTCTCGGTTTTTTGTTAGCAGAAAAGCATTTGTTTCATTTTGATTTTTGATTTTCTTGTGATCATATTTGTGAATTGTACATACGGAAGGCGTGGGTGGTGAAAGTGGGAAGAGGACTGTTGAAGGATTTCTGTTGCATAGAAAATACTGCCAATACTGTACTACTGCTGAAGTAGTATTGCATTGTACTAGACTCTTTTGGGCTAATTTTCTCAAAGTTAGTGACAAGTGGGTGTCACTGCCAATCATGATGTCAAATTGGAAGTGAGAGCTCGCATAGGAATTTGAAGCAAAAAACCACCACCCGCCCCCCATGTATTATTCCCTATTAATCCAGCAGAGCGCCCCAAAAAGAGAACACCAGCATTTGCCGAAAAAAAGCTATGGATGATATGATACGGCAGCAGCAGAGTATAACGTGAGTGTAGGAGGGAGAAACAGACTAGAGTGGAGACAAGAAAAAAGAACCTAGTGTTACAATTACATTCGCATCGTTTCAGAATCAACACCCGTGTCTTCATCTTCAAGAAAATTTTTGGGCTTTCTAACCCACCAGCAGCCAGCAAAGCCTAATGAAACCGTCAAACATAACTTAGGAAGGAAAAAGAAGAAAAGTAGAAAAAGAAAAAAAAGAGAAGCCCCTTCCAACACCTAACCCGGTTCCCTGTTTGCCCAAATTTTGTTTTATAGCTATTCATTGATTGTAGACCATTCTGGTTATACTCGCGCTTTCTCTCGGCAGATTACAAACCGCAAGCATTCTCACACAATTCAACCTTACAAACCAGTTTTCTCGCCAGCCTTCTTCTTCTTTTCCACCTTCAACAGTAGAGCACGATTGATGTGTGGTAGAACACCCCCGAAGGCGATTGTCGCGCGGATGAGAGTATCGAGCTCTTCGTCTCCACGAATTGCGAGTTGTAAATGGCGTGGGGTTATACGCTTGACCTTCAAATCTTTGGCAGCATTTCCGGCGAGCTCGAGAACTTCGGCAGTGAGATATTCCAGAACCGCAGTGACGTAGACAGCAGCTGTTTTAATTGGTTAGACAACATGTATGATTATGAGATGGAACCAAATGCGATAAAGATTTTATGGGTGGATTGATGGCGGGTGATGGTACCTTTAGCTCCGACGCGCATCTTGTTTTGGGTGTTGTTTTTGAGGAAACGCTTAACACGACCACAAGGGAACTAATAATAGAAAACAACAATTAGTATTCACTTCTTCAATTGATGTTTCGTCTGGCAGTTTGTCTAGCTTGTTTCCTCTAGGCAAGTGCTGTGTCACCATTTCATGCAAAGTTTCGCTTCTTATAAATGAGCTCCGCTCTAATCAACACTGACACATCAAAAGCCATAACGCGTTGGAAATAAAGCTTTCCAATCGCTATATTTTTCATCGAGGGAAAGTTCAAGTCTATCCCAAACAGCGGTGCCAGGTACTGACCACCTAAAACATACCGAACAAGAAAAAAAAATGTTTCTTACCTGCAACCCCGCTTTTGCAGAATGAGAGACCTGCTGTCTAGATGCATCTCCACCTTTAGGCCCGGCCTTGCCCCCATGTGACTTTCCTTTACCACCAGACATCTTTATTCCGTTCGCTTGCGCTGTTGAAACTGGGAGATAATTGTAGATGTATTTTTATTCGTTTGGTGAATTAAACTCTCGTATGTGCGGGGATCGTGGAGTGGTCTGTGGTGGATTTGTTGTGATGAAATGTGGTTGGGACGTGTGTAGTGACGAGATCCGGTCGCAAAAGTAGAAGCGTGGCGGGGGAGAAGGAGAAGAAAGGAATTGTTGCTCTGTTCAAGTCTTGGGCGGTTACCCGGCCGGGAGATAATAACCCATATCAAGCTGTCGAGTCATATATATTAAGGATCCAGCTATTATCAAACGTTATCGTCCAAAGATGTGAGGTGATGTCGCAATCGTCCGTGAGTCATTATGGTGTAAATTATTTTATATAACCTTCTGTGAGTACAATGTCCAGATTGTGATGATTGCCCCACCACCCTGGCTACTAGTTGTAGTCAGCTATATGGTTTATATCCTTCATCAATTTTCAACATACTGCTGATATCGTAATGCAGTACTGGTATCGCTATGGCGCTGCCTGCCATATTCCCCTTCTTTGGTCTGGTTGTAACTTGTGTACTTGGCCAGCCCGTCGAAATTGGTAGTCAAATATAAGAGAAATAGTCCAGACGTAATTCCCTGCGGAGTCGAAAGGAGCCGAAAGGATTGAAGGTAGGTCGTGCTCCACATGATTCTGGAAATCCAAAAACCAAGTATCACCAGGTGAACGGAAGATGCTCATAATCCTCCCGAGACTTGTATCTCCATTTGTGGCCAGCATTGCTCTTTATCTGTGACAAAATGAGGCAGAAACTGCATTCATTTACCTAGTCTCTCTATTAGTTAACGGCCTTTAAATAATTTAAAAGGCTATAGACTAGTAAGAACACTAGGTTCAATGATGGCAATTACCGCGGCCACATATAAGGCTGCCATCATGATATCTACCAAAGAGGGAGATCTAGACTGCGGGTATTTAAGCCCCAAAACGATAATATTTGTTCCAGAGGCAACTTGACCAACCAGATTTCCCTATGGTTCATTATCGCAATATATAAAAGAGTTCTTTCGCTTTCCCTGCGACCTCCCATATATAGCAGGAAGACCCCCGTTATTGTGATCCGGGTATTGCCCCGATTACAATTGGTGCTTGATGGCCAAATCTTCTCCGCGAATGCCTTATTAATGAGGTTGTAAACGCCTGTCCTCCACGTATACAGTGGATTAATATGATTCGCTCCTTGGATATAATTGTCGACAAAGCTTGTAAGGTACTTCGCCACTATGTGGAGGTGCAGCCTCTCCGGAAACAAAGAGCCCTTACTCAAGTACTATGGCCGTACCCTTGTTCGGGAACTAATTGAATAGTACAGTTTGAGAGTTCTAAATCCAAAACTTTGGGATATATGTTCCCCGGGGAAGTGGGTGAGTGAGAGGCGCCGGATGGTGGGGGCAGCAATCAGCAGGACAGCCACGTATCCACCTATATATCTAGGAGCTATCTGGAAGAACTGATGAATGACATACACCCCATAGAACTCATCGGAGCCCCCAATTACAATGTCACATTGGCGTTTGAGGTCCTGAGCGAAGTCCTTGTTAAACCAGTTCATAATGGTAGAGCATGGCATCCACGGTTACATACCTTCAAAGCTAATTAGTCCCTTCCCTGTGGCTCACCACATGGGCATATAAGTTGATCCCATGGTTTGACCGCTCTAGAGGTTTGTCCTTTAAGGAACCGGGCGAAAATGGGAGTATTCTGATCGTCCAGAATAGGTGGAGAAATGTTTCGATGGGTGCAGCCAACACATCGAGCGCCAAGACCTTCCTCTCACACAACATGTAGGGTTAGGGGTATCCACAACCTCCGTTGATGAAGTCCGCGCATGTGGCAATTTTTTAAATAATGTTAAAAATAATGTACATCGATACAGATGTTATTGATCCTTCTTCAATCATAATATTCAGTTTGAAAGTGTGTAGTATCAGCTGATGTTTCTGGTGAGTGGGGTCGAAACGAGTGATCACTTGTGATACGCAGTTGCAAAACTCAAAATGCTACGTATAACTAAAACCTACGTATGTACGTACATGTAGTACAAAAAAGGTTGGGTTTGTTACGGTATTCTAGCTAATGAATTAATACGTACATATAGTTACATACGTATGTATTTGACACGGTATTCTCCTTAAAATACTGATTTAACTCTGTATATACATACATGTATTCTTTACTGAATTCCGTGATCATATGCAATGGTGTTGATTCCACCCCCTTTTTCATGCATGTATTATCCAAAACGATACAATTATATTCACATACATGTATGTTTCTACAATGAAGAGAACCGGCAGTGTACTGTGTGGCCATACTATATAGATGTAATTGACAGGCATAGATAGCTAGGGGTGGATCGACAATAAGTGGAACTAGTACAGTACTTGTTATTTACGTGTACCATGTCCCTTAAACAACACTTCACGGCCGCGGTTACTTACAGTAGTATACTAAAAACATACGGACCTCCTAATTACAAGTAATTAATCTCCTTCACTTATGTACACCCGCATTCGAAAAGTACTGGCACCCTACTATATATATATATATATTGAGTCGTTCATGAATTGTAGCCTACCAACAACCATGGCACTCGCGCATACTCAAATTATTAACAGGTATGACCGCAACAGAGACATTGCAGCTCTCTCTGACAACGGTCTCGAATATGAGAATTTCAAAGCAGAAAGGACCTCCTCGTGAGTTTGGCCTGGAGGTGCCAAAACTTTTCGAATGCGGCTGTACATGTACATGTAGTTACTAAGTACTTGTATGTACATATCGAAATTATTATATGTATAACACTATAGCTATATATATATACATTATATTCTATCATATTCTTTATATATAGATAGCTATAGGCCTTGAACCATCATGATCACTGATAATAGCTTTTTATATTAATGCCTAAGTTTTCTCCATTGGCACTATTTACCAGCGCTTATCACAGGCAGTGTGGTCCGCGAGGCCGAGCGGCCTTGTAGCTTTGCTTCCAGACCATGACCTCGAGACCGGACAATACCGAGAGCTTACAAGGCCAAGGAAGCTCGAAACCACCAATCTGATAGGCCTCGAGGTGCCTCGAGGCCGCCAAACTCGAGTATATCTTTGAATATAATACAGACCCAGGTTGGTATCGCACTAAGTTTAGGTATCGACTCACTATTATCACCCAAAGTTCCTGTATTGGCGGTCTTGAGATGCCTCGAGACACCTCAAAGCCACTCCCCCGAAACCTCGAGACCAGGAATTAAAGGCCAATGTTAAGCAAAGCCGAGCGGCCTCATTACTACTCTCCATTCTCGCCTCGAGCAGCCTCATGGGCCACACTAATCACAGGCAATACTTGCAGAAAACAAGAAATAAGGTTGCTAAAGTACATGCAGTTATCATAAAGCCGAACATGTATTTAAATAATCGTCTCTTAGTCCAGTTGATCCGCCGTATTGGTAATTTCCATGATCCAGCTACCTTGATTTACTCCAGAATTCGAACAGTCACAGCTAGTCTATCATTTAAACCTTCATCAGTATAAAGGTTTTTATTCTATAGATCTAAACTTCTATTTATAACCCAAAAGGACACCAGAGAGTCAACTTACTAGAAGGAGAAACCGATCCATGGCCGAGTCCGAACACAGATATCCACCCATTTTCCTTTTTCCTCGTTACATGTAGCCTGTAGGTACACCCGGTCTTTGTTCTTGCTAGCTTCTTCCTATCGATATCAAGCATTCACTTACACACGATCTTGATATCGATTATTACTTCTAGATTTTTCTTATAGAATAGAGAGCACACGAATTGATCGGGAAGAATCCCGATGGAGCCAAACGATCCCCTGATCAGTTTTTTCTTTCTTTTTTCCCTCTCTCGTTATTGCTCTGATGTGGGCTCAACGCACTGTTGGCTATGTGCAGTGATAAAATTACGCGATACTAATATGTGATGGATAGTAATAATGATGCATATATGGATAGCTCGGGTTCCATGGCATCCGGCCGAGAGATCGAATCCGGCCATCTATACAAACAAGGAGGTAATTCCACATACTCAATGACCCATGTGGAGACAACAAGCTTTCGATCGACACCATGCTCCTTTGATACATGTACCTACAATACAACTGCAACTGTAACTCGATACGGATACCTTAGTACATGCAGACATGCTCTAGTCCATGCGGTCATTCGAGTTTGCGTCTGTATGTGGGCACATACAATTGATCTCCGGATACTGCCAATTCAATCCCTCTTACTCTGTACTCTGCATCTTCCTTCTATCGTGATCAACATGATATCTATTCGGCGAGAGAGCTCAGGGCTCCAAATTAATCACAAGGCGCCTCTCGAGAACGGCGAACAAATCAATCTAGGTTAGTAGCTTTACGAGACGGGCCAGCTAGTTATTTAAACACATAAGCTTGCTCGCGATCAGTTTGCCCAGGAGCGCAAGCACAAGGAACTAGATTGTGACATGTAACCTGTGATGATCCACCGTTCACAAATGAGAAAAAGTCTCTAATACTCGAGCCTCAAGCTTATAAACTAGCTATCATATTGAAATAACCCCCGACCAAACAAAATAGACACATATAGGTCTTTTAACTAACGAGTGACAAAACATGACCCACGAAGAAACGCCGAGCAGCTTGGCTCGCAAGTAAGTTAGTCGCACCTGTGGGAATTGTTAGGTATATCGAGACTTCAACGTCCAGATAAGCTTATTCGATAACCGACTCATCCGAACCGCGGCTTGATTGATTTCCGATTAGTGAACACAGAGACAAGATGATCATTGCCGGACCTCCGCTAGCTTGACCCCCACCGTCCATGTCCGATGTCTCACACCGCATCATGAATGATCAGGATAGAACGGCAACAACCACCGCGCAGTATGCCATTCTTTATCTGTACTGCAGCCCCGCGTGATATTTGATGAAGCGAAGTGCGGATAACACAAGATCTGAGACAGGAGCAGGCTTCTGCATAATTATAGTGGCATTCACACGCTCGAAGCCCTGGATTTCGACGCAGGAGTGAATATAGACTATTGTTTCTGAGTACAGGATGTACCGGTGTAGTAAAATAGTGAAGGGAAGTGAACTCCGGACCCACGTTATCCGATACCGAAGTTGTTTCCGTTGATGTTGTGCCGTGATAACCGTGAGAGGTCAATGACAACCCTACAGCTGTGGGGTTGAGGTGGGTTGGGAGTTGTAGAGCATTTACTCTCTTCGTTTTCGGAGAATTAAAGCGGTGCGTTCTAGAAGGGTTGTATGTTATTCTCTGTGGCCCGTGAGTACCGTGTTACGGCCGATAGATAGTAGGGATTGATGATAGGGATTGCTTGAGTACGTTCCGCTCATATTGTGAAGTACCTGTTTTGATTTTACGGCCCGTCCTGCCAGGTAAAAATTATGGAAAAGGTCTAAAATGACACTTTTTGGTACACTTGATGTAGAGCAATTATAACCCATAATACAAATTAACACACTTCTACGATCCAAAATGACACAGTTCAAAACTTTAGGCCCTTTAGAAGAACCTGTTGACGAACTATTACTATAAAATTCGGAACTAAAGGACCTTTTTAGAAGGACCGGTTGCTAACCTAAAGCCCGAAGTTTTGAACTGTCATTTTGGATCGTAGAAGTGTGTCAATTTGCATTATGTGTTATAATTGCTCTACATCAAGTGTACCGAAAAGTGTGTCATTTTAGACCCCTTCCGCAAAAATCATCTCTGCTTGTCAAACAGACATCGCCGAGGTTGTACCCGCATTTTCACATCAGGTCAACTACATGTACATACATATCAGAAGACACCAAGAAACAGATCTAGATTCTGAATAGAAACATACCAAGAGCCCCTTGCAGATGACCAGAACTCGATGATTTGGTAGAGTATTCCTTATGCAATGCATATTAGAGATCTACTCTAGACTAGTAGCTATGCACCTGCATTCAACAAAGTCGATCTCGCCCTTCAACCCAGTTTACTTTTTTAAAGTCTTGACCACGTTTCCACGGATCAGCAACCCAGATTGAGGCTCTCAACACGTCGAGCAAGACAGCGTGAACAGGAGGCCCGTGTTCACACCGCATAAATTAACCCAAACCAACCAGCGGAGGGAAAATGTGGGGAAGTTCTACCCCTGCAGGGTAGCATGATGCCAAGACAATACACTGATGACGCTGATTGCGTGGCGCACCCCACACAAACTCTCCGATCAATTTTCGGAGGGCTCGGGCTTCAAGTATTTTCTTTATGTCCGGCCGAAACGGATAGTTCGGCTTGAGGTTAGCGATAGGTTGAGGGAAATCATGAAACCCGATTTTATTTCTAGAATTTCCTAGAGATGCAATCTATTTCCATAGTGATATCATCTCATTAATTCTGTAGGACAGGCAAGTCCCGTTTATCCGGAATCTGGATTGATTGTACAGAGGACTTGGGAGCTTTTAGAGATGAACTTACATGAGTACATAAACTGCCGCGGGAAGTGGGCCATGAATTGTTTAGTGAAACAATAGAGCGTCAATCTACTAGTAGTTGGAGCTCTTGAGTTCGGTGTAGCATAATCAATTCAGGAAAATAGCACTAGGATAGTACTAATAGTACTACATGTAGTATGCGGTTCACAATTCACTATAGTACATGTAGCCAACTAGAATACTTGAGAATACGTCCTATACAAGGATATCTCATAGACAGCTACTACATGTATTTGTATATGGATTACATAGACCGGGTGTACCTGTGGTGAGCATGACCTGTGCC